GATACCCTCTACCCAACCATTCCACTCCCTTCCCCTGCCCCTCTTCCTCAGTACCCTTCCCCTTTCCAACCCCATCCCTTTACATATACCGTTTCAGAACTTAGAACCAAGGTTTACGGTTTCGGCGCTTAGAGCAGAGGCATTATCTCCCAGAGTTGAGCAGGAGAAGAAGGGGGGGGGGGAAACGAAGGGATAGGGTTTGGGCAGCTTGGGCGTTTGCCTCCAAGGGGTCGGCGGCACTGGCGGTAGCCATTAAATAATTTAGATAGGTTGAATATTTTGAATAGTTTACATCCTGGGGGGGGGGGGGGAAAGGTCGTCCCAGGATTCCACGCAGGGCTGTATTCTTACAAAAACCGTGGCGCGTAGATCCAGGCAGATTTTGTCCGTCGTTTTTTTGAGAAAACACCAAAGACAAAAATATGCCTGGATCTATTTGAAAAAACACCATGGACAAAATCTGCCTGGATCTACGCGGCGCTGTTTCTTACAAAAAAGTGGCGCGCAGACCCAGGCAGATTATGTCCTTCGTGTTTTTTGAGAAAACACCATGGACAAAATCTGCCTGGATCTACGCGGGGCTGTTTCTTACAAAAAAAGTGGGGCGTAGATCAAATTCCTAAATTCATAATTCCAGCGGGCCGGAAACCCAGAAGAATTAGAACTTCTGAAATTCCTTGAATTCCTTAAATTTCTAAATTCCTAATTCCCGGGAATTAGGAATTTAGGAATTTAGGAATTTCGGCTGAAGGCTAAAATTCCTAAATTCCTAAATTCCTAATTTCCGGGAATTAGGAATTTAGGCATTTAAGGAATTCAAGGAATTTCAGAAGTTCTAATTCCTCTGGGTTTCCGGCCCGCTGGAATTAGCAATTTAGGAATTTAGGAATTTCAGCTACAGCCCAAAACTCTTAAATTTCTAAATTCCTAATTCCCGGGAATTAGGAATTTAGGAATTTAGGAATTTCGGCTACAGGCCAAAACTCCTAAATTCCTAAATTCCTAATTCCAGCGGGCCGGAAACCCAGAGGAATTAGAACTTCTGAAATTCCTTGAATTCCTTAAATTCCTAAACTCCCAATTCCCGGAAATTAGGAATTTGGGAATTTAGGAATTTAGGAATTTCGGCTACAGGCCCAAAACTCCTAAATTCCTAAATTCCTAATTCCAGCGGGCCGGAAAGCCAGAAGAATTAGAACTTCGGAAATTCCTTGAATTCCTTAAATTTGTAAATTCCTAATTCCCGGGAATTAGGAATTTAGGAATTTAGGAATTTCGGCTGAAGGCTCAAATTCCTAAATTCCAAAATTCCTAATTTCCGGGAATTAGGAATTTAGGAATTTAAGGAATTCAAGGAATTTCAGAAGTTCTAATTCCTCTGGGTTTCCGGCCCGCTGGAATTCGCAATATTAGGAATTTAGGAATTTCAGCTACAGCCCAAAACTCTTAAATTTCTAAATTCCTAATTCCCGGGAATTAGGAATTTAGGAATTTAGCAATTTCGGCTACAGGCCAAAACTCCTAAATTCCTAAATTCCTAATTCCAGCGGGCCGGAAACCCAGAGGAATTAGAACTTCTGAAATTCCTTGAATTCCTTAAATTCCTAAATTCCTAATTCCAGCGGGCCGGAAACCCAGAAGAATTAGAACTTCTGAAATTCCTTGAATTCCTTAAATTCCTAAATTCCTAATTCCCGGGAATTAGGAATTTAGGAATTTAGGGAATTTCGGCTACAGGCCCAAAACTCCTAAATTCCTAAATTCCTACTTCCAGCGGGCCGGAACCCGGGAAGAATTAGAACTTCTGAAATTCCTTGAGTTCCTTAAATTTCTAAATTCCTAATTCCCGGGAATTAGGAATTTGAGAATTTAGGAATTCCGGCTCAAGGCCAAAACTCGTAAATTCCTAAATTCCTAATTCCCGGGAATTAGGAATTTAGGAATTTAAGGAATTCAAGGAATTTCAGAAGTTCTAATTCCTTTGGGTTTCCGGCCCGCTGGAATTAGGAATTTAGGAATTTATGATTTTCGGCCTTTAGCCGAAACTCCTAAATTCCTAAATTCCTAATTTCCGGGAATTAGGAATTTAGGAATTTAAGGAATTCAAAGAATTTCAGAAGTTCTAATTCCTCTGGGTTTCTGGCCCGCTTTCCTTGAATTCTTAAATTCCTAATTCCCGGGAATTAGGAATTTAGGGATTTAGGAATTTCGGCTCAAGGCCAAAACTCCTAAATTCCTAATTTCCGAATTTCCGGGAATTAGGAATTTAGGAATTCAAGGAATTCAAGGAATTTCAGAAGTTCTAATTCCTCTGGGTTTCTGGCCCGCTGGAATTAAGAATTTAGGAATTTAAGAATTTCGGCTACAGGCCAAAACTCCTAAATTCCTAAATTCCTAATTCCCGGAAATTAGGAATTTAGGAATTTAGGAATTTCGGCTATTTTGGAATTTTGGCTCAAGGCCAAAACTCCCAAATTTCTAATTCCCGGGAATTAGGAATTTAGAAATTTAAGGAATTCAAGGAATTTCAGAAGTTCTAATTCCTCTGGGTTTCTGGCCCGCTGGAATTAGGAATTGAGGAATTTAGGAGTTTTTGCCTTCAGCCGAAATTCCTAAATTCCTAATTCCCGGGAACTAGGAATTGAGGAATTTAGGAATTCAGGCCTTCAGCCGAAATTCTAAATTCCTCAATTCCTAATTCCGGGGAATCAGGAATTTAGGAATTTAGGAATTCGGGCCTTAAGCCGAAACTCCTAAATTCATTAATTCCTAATTTCAAGGAATTAGTAATTTAGGAGTTTCGGCTTAAGGCCTGAATTCCTAAATTTCTAATTCTTCATATTGGAGTAAGGAGGCAAGGACAAAGGTCAAATGATACGTAAAGGTTCCTCTTACATATATATATATATACATATATATATATATAAATATGCTTTTATATATTATTTGATTTCTGAAATTTATCCAATTTGTTTATGTATTTACTTATTTATTCATCTAGTTACTTTTATCATTATTATTTCTATTGGTAATATTCTTCTTCTTATTCTTCATTGTTATTACATATATATACACACGTGATATGATATGATATGATATGATAGATATGTACACATACATATCCCCAACCCCCGGTTCCCAAGACCACAGGTTTTGTCGTATCTCTATTTATTTCATCTGTAAATTGACTAGATCTCCGCAGTTCCAGATTCCAGATTTGCAAGGCCCATGTCCATGGGAATTTGAAGTCCGACGCTTGTTCCCCAAACAGTGTGCCAGTAGGTTTCTTTCGTTCAGGGTAAAAGGGTCTTAAATTGGTTTGCGCGCGCATGCGCGGACGTTTTTCCTCGAGCGGTGGTTACATTGTGGACGAAAATGGTACTTTTTCCACAGCGCGGATCCCGCACGGATTTCTGTTGAAGCATCGCAAAATACCGCGAAAAAAACATGCTCTTGATTGGTGGATGGTGTCGCGTCGCGCCCTCGCCTAGGCCCCATGCGCATTTTCTCGTCTTTGCGGGTGGAAATCCGCCTAGTACGTCCCATGCACTTTTCGAGGCTTGCATCGCTTCAGGCGGGTGGTTTCCTTCACTTTGGGCCGTTGGATGGTTTCACTTCGTGCAGCCACGGGGATTTGCAATTCACGATATTCGCGATGTTGGAAATCGCGCTCCTGCCTAGACATGTGCATCGACGTCGCCATCCTCGTATCTGTCGTCGCTTTAAAACGTCTGGGTTTGTGACATGCGAAACTGTCGTCGCTTTTAGACGTTGGGGTTCGCCAACCGTGCTACATCGTGACATCGTGAAACTGTCCTCGACTCTTAAGCACTCCCGCATACTGTAGCTGGCCGCACAGCGAGGCAGAGGTTCAAGCACATCACGAGGGAAACTTCTTCCAGCACGTGGAAATTCCCGTGCGACCTCGTTTGGACGCCTGGGCTCGCCAAATGCGAAACTGTCGTCGCTTTTTGGGCTTTTTTGCATCTCCGGATGTTGGACATAGCGCTCCCGCCCCCCGGGCAGCCCCTGCTTCCCGAAAACACAACCCCGTAAGTTGACTACATACGCCAAGCAAGATGGGGTGACCCCTGCCTCCGGTGGTCGCAGAGGGACACCAGACGGCTCTGGTTCAGCAAAACAACACGACACTGGAACATCACAGCACCCTTGAACCTAACACCTAGACAGCCTCCGCCCAAACTAAACCGAATTTGGCTCTCATGTGTCTACTACAGTACTGACTTTCTGGTGACAGGGGAGGAATGCCGCAACCAGCCAGGTGAACCTAACCAGCTGGGCAGCAAGTCATCCATCGTCCGTCGTCGCTTTTTGGACGGGTTCGCGAAATGCGAAACTGTCGGACAATCGGACATCGCGCTCGGGCCGCCTAGGCACCGGGCGCTTCGACGTCGCCATGCTCGCGAAGTGCGAAGCGTCGCTCTTGCACGTCGGGGTTTGGTTGTTTTGAAGCTCTGGTCGCTCGAAAGTATAGTACAAAGGTGTACGCGGAGAACGTCTGGAGCTCCAATGGCACCAAAATGCAGCAAAGTCAAGTTGCATGCTTTTTCTTTCCATTTGCGCACGGCTTTCTGTTGGGCGAGCTGTGATCTCCCAGGTTTTCTCATGGTCTGCTGGTGTTTCTTAGGATGAGGTGCTTCCTGGTGGTCTCCTGGTGCTGCTCTCCTGGGGGTCTCCTGGCGTGCTGGTCTCTTAGGTCTAACCTGCTCTGCTGCCGGAGCTGCTCGTCATCGTGTTCCTCGTGTTCCTCGTGTCTGGAGAGCTTGACATGCTCTTCCTGGACCCAAGTCGTCCCTCACTGCTGGAGGTCGGGCATAAGTCGTAAAGATCATAACACTTTGTGTCTCTCCCTAGTTAAGCGCTAAGCAACTCAGTGGATTTCGTTAACGTAATGGTCAACGCTACTTGTGTACTGTGTACTACTCGCAATTTGACTTATGAGCGGGAGTTCACTATCACAATGGACTCTAGCCGGGGACCTGAGCATTCCCATGCGCCAGCTTCGTGGCTTCGCCCATCGGTTTTTGGAAGGTGTCCTGACATCGTGCTGAGAGAACATGGTCTAGATGCGGTTATGTGGAGATGCACGAGGATGCTTTTTGGAATGATTCGGGGCTTTTGGATCTTTTGGTTTTGTCGAGCAGCGTCTATGTCTCCAAGTGCTCGCTTTCGGGCAAAGCCCGAGGCTGGCGCGTCAAAAGAACTTTTTTCAACCCACCATGGAAGTACACAAGCAGCCAAGCAAAGCGAAACGTCAGAAGTGGAACTCCCAGGAACATCTAAGTCTATTTGGCTTCTCCCAGTAGGTAGACGAAAGGGTCAGCCTTTCCGGGGAGGCCAGGGACACCACGACTGGAGATACTGGACTGGAGGACATCTAAAGGGGAACCTCTCTCCCTGTTCTCCCTAAAGCAGTGGGAGCAAGCTACCACCATAGGCGACCTAGATTTACAAAACCCTATAAACGCTAAACTAGCGCTAAGCTTAAGGAAAATACGCCATCTTAAGCCTCCTGTCCTCACCCAACGTGCGCTCGATATCCAGGACGTAGCGCTTGCCGGCATCATTGGAACCGTCCAGCTTCTCATAGATCCGGTTCAGCTCCGTAACGGGATGAAGCTCGATCTCAGGGTAGATCCTTACAGGTTGGAACAGCTTCGGGACTCGAGTTGACGCAAAGTAACAGCACGTACAGGTTCCTTATAGCTTGAGTTGTGAGATTGTGGCAGCACCTGCATGGTCCGGGACAGGGCATTGTGAGGCGCTCAGAGAGATTTCGACAGTCCGAAAGTACGTGAAACCCTGGAGGAACATTCAGCAGACCTAAGTATGCTCAGAAACACCACCGAAAGCAGTTGCGGTTGCCCTCTGACGAAACGCCATGTTCATGGGTTTGTTGAAGCATGACTGATTGCAGCCGGTAGCCATTGAAATGATACTGCAACAAGCTGCATATACTGAGGGCTTTCTATATTTACGTTATGATAGAATTTGCTTGAAAGTTCCTCAGGCGAGGATCTTGTTCTTTGCGCACAGGTCGATGACCTCCGTTCGTGAGTAAGTGCGACCTACACAAGACATATCAAGACATGCTCTGCCCATTCCCCCCCCCCCCCCCCCCACCACCACCCCCCCCCCCCACACCCCCCCCCCCCCCCCCACCACCCCCCCCCCCCCACCACCCCCCCCCCCCCCCCCCCCCCCACCACCCCCCCCCCCACCCCCCCCCCACCACCCCCCCCCCCCCCCCCCCCCCCCCCCCCCCCCCCCCCCCCCCCCCACCCCCCCCCCCCCCCCCCCCCACGCTTCAAGCTACACGTGGGTACGCATGGCTACGACTACGCATGCTACGCTGGGAAGATCGGAGAAAATGCCAACGCATCAAGAGCGACCTCCTGAGTGTTGGGGATGCCCCCGATGCCGGACATCTTCACACGAGCCTTTCGAGGTTGCTTGGCAGCCCCTGAAGGCCCTGAATACTCTAACTCCAGAACCCCAAGCCCCAAACGTATAGGAGCCTGCTTCGTGAACTTGGACAAAATGAAAGCGCCAAACATCGAGGCATGCAGGCCAAGGAGGATGTGCACGCCGTCAGGTTTTAGCATCTTTGTGTAAATAGTCGTGTCATGGTCCTGGACAGTCTGCAGCAGAGACTGCGGTGGAGGTGCACGTGCTGACAATGCCGTGGAGCAGGAAGGGAAAGTAAATTCAGATGTGACCGTCGTAAGACACCCAAAACAAAAAATGATGCGGCTCTATGCAGGTACTTCGACAAGTCTACTGCATCAAGTTTAAGGCATCGCGGACACTACTTAATAGACTTTACTGCTTATTCTTTCGAACCTGGACGCCCTTTGGAGGGGAAATGATGCCTGCGCAGCACTTCTAGGAGGTCAAACCTGACACTTTGAGGGTGATGACCCAAGGCCCTTAAGAATGAATCTTCGGCAAAGCTGTCCGTGGGGATGGTATTGATGATGATGTCAAAGGTGTTCTCGTGCTTCGCTCTTTGCTCCTCAATGGTAGAGGCCTTGGTTGAGCTGCGTGTCAACCTGACTACAACAGCTTTCTTTGGTTCACCTACTGGAAGTAACAATCAATAGCTTGAATGGGAGCATCGTAAGTCTCGTACGTATGCAGGAATTTTTCAATCAGTTTACATCCAACAGGCAGCTGCCGAACAAGAATCCAAATGGAATGAGCTGGAAGCGTTTATTCCCATGATGGTGTGAAACCCTGAAACAGTGCAAAGGTGTCATTCCGTGTCATTCCAGGCTTAAAAATGATCCGTGCATGGCTTGCCGAGGGGCGATGTATCCGGACGCCCCACAGCTCTCCATGGCAAAGCTACGTTTGTTCTCGGCGCGGGAGATAGCAATAGCTTCGCATCCCATAGCCTCGACAATGGGGCTTCTTCCTTTTCAGGACGAAGTGACAGCAGCTTCTCAACACATTGCAGGGTTGCAATTGCAGTCCATGTCGAACTCAAGCCATGGACTGACCCTATGATGGCGCCGTTCCAGCGGGATAGAAAGCGGATGAGATTGGTGTGCAAAAGCGGCCTGGCGGCTCACCAGACACTTCGATAGCTGGTCGCCGCGAGTCTTCGTTACAATCAGGACCCCAGCACATCCCAGCACGCAAAACCAAAACATCCAAAACCAGGTCTGCATCCAGACACTCAGGGTATTGATCCCGTCGGCAGGTTGTGATTGTCTACAGCCGACGCCGAGCAAAAGTGACCCGAGCCAGGAGTTTTCAAGGCACCGGCTGGCAGACAAACCGAGAAGTTCAGCAAGTGACGAGAAAACTTTTGCCAAACAGTGGCGGGCAGTGTGCGAAAAGCGCTGGTCCCGTAGCCGCTCCTCAAGAAAGTCAGGAGGGTCGGAAACAGCTTGGCGAGACTGGCATTTGGCCTTGAGAGTTCTCCGAAGGGTGCATTGGATTCCAGAACCGCAGCCAAACAAAAGTACCATTGATACCCTTTTTGAACCTTTCAACTGTAAAAAACACGCATCGTTGATCACCGTGGCGCTCGGACCATCTCGGGTCACCCGTTTCAGGACCGTCAGGGTGACATGATGCCACATGATGCTGCATGATGTAAACGGAGATCCGTTGTGTTGCTGGGGATTGTGTACAGCGGCATAATCTGCCAACATCGTCGTCCGAAACACCATGGAAATCCATGGAAGATGCAAGTGGAGTTGTAGTGCAGTGGGGGTATTGGTGGTGGGAAGGCGTTGCGCTTGCCACAACACCAGTGAAAAGAGACGTGCTGCGCATCCAGCTGCTCGGCGCGCGCTTCTCTTCCGCTTCAAAACCATTTTCGCCTTATGCTTTTGCTGCTGCTGCTGCGGCTGCGGCTGCGGCGGCTGCTTCTCTCCCTTGACTTGTTCTGGCCGGGGCATGTCAGCTTAGCTTTTTGGAACCAAGAGGCTTGCACAAAGCCCTGCGGAACCAGCACAGTTTTCGAGCTGGAGTTTTTTTGGCAGCGCCGCGTGGAACGGAGCAGGGAGCCAGGCGCATTGTTTCGAGTGGACAACATGAAGGGTCATGAAGGTTTCTCAGGCTGCTTGGCACCCTTGGCCGAGTAGAGCACCGGAGCTGCAAGATAGAGAGTATGGGTAGCAAGGTGCATGGTACCGATACTGAGCTACTGCAAGCGACTGCCCCAAAAACTGACTGCCGTGACACCAAGAGAACCTGACCTTGAGCACTTGCGAACACACCACATACCCTCAGGAACTCCCTCAACAGCTGAAGCATGGCAAAGGTCCGGATCGTCGGTCTAGCTCCCTTCCATTGACCACCCCAATGGCCTTGGCAATCTTCACGCCCATAACGCCGAGCCCCCCCAGGCCCACGATGCCAACTTTGCCTCAAGTGCTCCGAGAAGGTGTGATGTCATAAGGAAGAACCATTCATGAGTTGTCTACGGGGACAGTGCGCTCGAAAATCGCATTGCCACAGGTCAGCTGCTGCGGATGCATTCCTCTTAACAGCACTACCGTCGAAAAACTCTACTGGTGCGCACGCTGTGCAATCTGCTTGATAAAACTTTCAGCTCCACTTGCCTTTTTTTGCGCTGCAATGGCAGCAGCTGGACGGCAACCCGATGCCGTCTAGCTGACAAACAGCCAGGTTGCTTCCTGCTTTGGCGCCATTCACCTTTAGTGGATCGTACATGGTGATGCCAGCGCACATCACCGGGCCAGCCATCTCCAGCGGGTAGTCCTCCAAACACAGTCAACGTTTTTGCCTTGAAGTCCTAGTATGCTAAGTAAGCCCCATATTCCTAACCGGCGGAGGGTGCGAATCTGGTCTCCCAGCAGGTTCCTCCCATCTGATCATAGCCGCAGGCAAACTCAAAACCCTGTCACTGTTCGGTGATCGTTGTCTCTGTTAACGAAGCCTTGTCATGGAAACAGGGTACTGCTTCCTAACCACAAGCCCCACGAATCCACTCTCACTCGCAAGGAACAGAAAAGGTTTTTTGGCGCCGACCTAGCTGGACGAACCACGCAGCAAGGAATTCAGGTTCACATCGTGTCACAGCCCACAACTTTCACATCCGCTCTGGAGAGGTATGTCAGAACCTACTTCGCGGTCCAAGCCTGATTCGCTAGATTACACTCAAGACTCATGATGGGCCTTGATGCCATTTGTCCCCATCAACAAATCACACTGTCCGCCGGTCCTTTCTCTTACCTCATGCCTTGCCTTGGCAAGTAGTTTGAAGGGTTCCAGTATGTTCCAGTGCATCCTCCTCTTCCAACTCCCCCTTAGACCTGCCAACCCCGACTTAGTTCCCCTTCTTCCTTAGTTGCTGAGTTCATAAGCCTCAAAGAAGAGTACACTTTCAGTTCTATGGGGGAGTATAGTATCCCAAAACGTGTCAAGTGTGCTCAGCTACTGAGCTTCCTGCCTTCGATTAGCAGCTGCAGAGCGTCGGAAGAAATAGGCTCGGTCCTTGGGAATCTGAATGCCAAAGTGCTCTTGGACGACCATTCTGGTGGTGTAGCCACCTGACAGTGCAGTTAGCCAGGAACTAGGATTTCAAGGACTTCGAACTACAACGACGGCCGCCTATGGTTGTCTTCCGTCCCGGCGTGGCTGCACGTCCCGACCAGTCCTTGCCGGCATAGGTGCCGACTTGTTTTGAGCACTTTTGCTCGAAGCCTCAGCCGAATTGTCACAAGGACTTGCTACAAGCTCATGTGGCCACAGCGATTGGTTGAGAGGTCGGCATTCAATACCACCGAAATAACAGAAGAAGAATGTCCATGGCGCAGGCAAGATACCCTGCTTGCATTTGTCACAAGCAAGACAGGAATCGACCATGCAGCCCACGCCGATGTGGTCTCCGACTTGGAATTTCGTGACCTTCCAGGCCACGGTCAGGGCTGCGCCTGTCTCTGTCGGTAACCACTGTACAGAAGGCGGGGTCGGGGTGTGGCACGGCCTTCGGGCCAACTTCTGCAACGACTCCTGCAAGTTCGTGCCCGGGAACACAGGGGTATTCCACCTTGGCAGGGGGTGCCCGAACCAAACGAGTTGCCGGGCATGCTACTCTGTTGCACTCCACAAGACAACACCCCCTGATTGAAAACCAGCTGCATTCATGGGAGTTGCAGGCAAGTGCTGGAATGCTTAGAACGGGGTTGCAACAGCCAGCAACGGCCCATAGAGGTGGAACTGGGTAGCATAAGAAACGCTCATGTGCAGCCTGAGCCGCTGCACCCATGACACCCTCCAGATGCGCTGCTGCGGTGTGCAGGTCACTGTGGCAAACTCCGCAATACTTCATGTCAATAAGAACGTCGTGCCTTGCGCAGTGGACTTTATGCAAATGTACTAAACACGTGAACCCGGAAGAAAAACTTCAGATCCATTACTGGGCATTTCCCCGCATTCATCCTCCTAAGCTTAATAACGCAAGCTGAAGGAAGGGCTGCCAACCCTTCTGAGCTCAAGAACCAGAGACCAGAGACGCCAGCGACCCCCCCGCCCACCCCCGAAATGCCCCCCCCTCCCCCCCCGCCACACTGTTGTGGGATAAGTATGAACGTATTATTTGTGAGGGGGGCCCTACAACATTGAATCGCCAGGCCGTTGTCCCAAATCGAATAGAAGGCATCGCTCTGCGGCTTTATCAAAAACTGTCGATGACACCCATACAGCGAGCCTAGGATCTTAACGCCATATTTGAGCCAAAATGAGAACCTGTATGACCATTTTGGCAGACTATTCCATGTGGCTTTGAAGTTCCGCAAGCTACACAGCCTAATTGTCAAGCAGGGTCCTCTTGTCTGGGAAATTAAGCTTTAACTGTGTTTGCTTCAGGGACGGGCGTTCGTCAACAATTAACTCCAGATTTTGCTAATTAAGAGGAAGACTGGCGGCATATCCGAGAACATGACTTCAGGGAAATCCAAACTCTCGTATTCCGCTTACGAGTAAGAGGCGCCTCTAGGCCAAAAAGAGAATTCAAACAGAATCATGCGCAAAGATGGCAAAGATGCTCGCCCAGGTGCTCGCCCAGGGCTCGCCGCTGCAATCGCATCGCTTCGAAAGAGCAGCTCTTGTCATGACAGCCCATGCCTTAAGGCTTTCGAGAAAAGGCGCTGGAGATTTAGACTCCTGGACTGAATTTCAAGTACCACGTCCACTGCCGAGACGCAAATGGTGTCCACCATGGGAGCAGGGCAGCTGGTGAGTGGAACTTTGTCGGAAACTGGCTGGGCAAATTTGGGCAAAAGCAACTCACGCAAAGAGGTCAAACATGTGGGATTCATTGTTGCGTAAATCACCCCCCCCCCCCTCCGGCCCCCACACAAAAAACAACAATAAATAAAAGCAGCAACGACCGGAAAGCGACACGGTGTCTTCGCGCGTTCGTTCCATGTCAGGCTCCACCGTCCATTTTTCACTCGCTGCTCAGGGCTCTCCATGCTTTTTCGGCACTTGCACAATTCGCAGCGTGCCTTCGGAGCCAAGTACCTTTGGGCCCCTGAAAACGAATCTCCGTTTGGGCCAGTTGACTCCGGCCTAGACGATTCTGCCCTATGCGAGCTCTGAAATGAATTGTATTGAAGCTAGGTCAGCTTTCGCATCTTTCGCTCAGCGAAAGGTGTTCCCCTTCTGCTCGAACTCCTGCCAAGGAGAATTTGTTGAACTACCAGAATAATCCTGAGTACCACATGCGAACTTCATGTACGTTCATGTTCCACCTCCTTGAAGCCTCAGGACCTCAAGACGTGTCGCATCCGGGCCTCGTTTCGCCCATGCAGCGGTAGCGGAGGCAAGTTGGGCCGGCCTCCAGTTTTTGCGGAAAACCCTAAATGTGACTCCCACAAATTGAGCTTCCATTGACGAACCCTCTGCCTGCCAGAGTCTTCTGATGAGAGTCCTCAGTGCCCGCGCAGATTCCTCAAATATCTCACCAGGGCAAGCTACATGCAATCCCAGCGGCATTCAGGTCCGAAAGCCTCATGGCGTGGCTATGAGATGGCATCTTTTGTTCCGCGGCAAAAGAAAGTGACTACAGCAGGATTGAGCAGCAGGCCTGAAATTTTCCTTGGGGAGGAGGAGCCGTTGCCAGGCCGCAACCCGTGCCTCATGTGCCTCGCTTCGGCACAAGTGCCAAATAGTGCCATACGTACTGAGAGGCCAGGCAGAGGCTAACGAAAGCTAGCCCTGATTCGCGCGCGCTCTCGCGCGTGACTAGCATGGCGACTATCCTGCCCCAACCCATGTCTTGGCCGGATCTTTGCAGTCACATGTTTCGGACAGGAGATCTAGAACACAGCCTCTGTGAGCACATGTTTGTGCGGCATTTTCTTTCAAAATATACCCTTATATCGTGCATCCCTTTCAAATACGATGTGGCGCTATCAATGTTCCCCCCTCCCTCCCTCCTCCCCTCTCCGTGCGTGTCTATCAATATTGACCACCCCTCCGAAAAAAATGATACAATCAATGTAGGGTCATTACGAAGGGGTTGTACCCATAATACTGTAAAAACAGAGCTAGCCTGCTTGATCAACAAAAGTGCAAGCGCCAGTCTGCATGCTGCGGCGGTGCCTGGTCGTCTCGCATGTGGGCCTTACGAGGAAGGATGGCGATCGCGGAGAACAGCAGTAGAAGTGAGTTCGTGCGGGAGAGGGGGTGTGGGAACGAATGAGCGCCTGAAACTTCACCCCACGGTTAGTTAGTTCGAGTACCCACGTCACGCGCTGTGCCAAAACCTACAGGGCTTGTGTTGGCCGTGGCCCTGAGCCCTGGACCCCAAAGTCTCTTTTCAGCGCTGGAGCCTGAAGCTCTCCAAGAGGACGATCGTGGTAGTTCCAGGCCACGCATCCGACATAATTTTCGAAGCTCCGCGCCTACAGCACAATACAATCCCCAAACGCAGGATGCGTTTTGAAATGTGCTGAATTTGTTTTGAGAGTTCCGGAAAATGCCACAGTGAGGCCTGCCATCTGTCAGTCCTGCAAATCATGCATTGTTCAAGTCGATGAACCATATGAAGGCTCCCATTTGACATAAAAACGGTGCATGGCCGCAGTCACCTCGTCTCTGCCAACCTCACAGAAATTTTCCAGCATGGATCAGATCTTCTGAACATTTCTGATGACTGTTGCGCCTTGCAACCCTTGCAGTGAACTGCGGTGCATGGAGTCCCCTTGCTCGTGGGGGAGGTGCCGGCCCTCAGGAGGGTGCCCCTAATTGTGGTCTTCGAGTCTTTGATGGATTGGCGAATCTGGGCTCCGAGGGCTCCGGCTTCGAAAGCCGGTGGTGGCGGTGGTGGCTCCCATGCGCTCTAGACCTTTGCCTGTCATTCGAGGCAACGCAAAGGAAAGAGTTGAAGCTGAAGCCCGAAAGGTGTGACAGTTGCGTGCAACAGCTGTCATGTGCACATGTGGAGCAAAAGGAGGAGGGAACAGTTTGTTTTGGCTATTTTTGGCTTCTCTATGTTTCCCATCGCTGTGAACTAATTGAACTACTCTTCCTAGCCTTGGCGTTCCTCCCAGCGCAAGTGCTCCAAGCGCTCCAAGCGCTCCAAGCGCTCGAAGTGCCGCTCTTGGAAATTTGGCGGCCCTGGGCCCCTTTCCGGCGCTGGCCGCCCTCTCCTGGGAAATGTATGAAGGTGAAATAGGTGAAATCTTGCATGTTTTTTTAAAATGTTTTCTGCTATGTTTGAACATCGGGACTCTCTTTTGTTGGATTTGCTGAGCTCCCTGCCTTCGTCCATTGCGACCTACAAAGCACTCTAAGTTCGCCAGTCTGTCAATGGCCAACTCGGTCAGATAATCAAACCGGCCATCCATCATGATCAATCAGACGAGCTGAGAAACTGCACACATTCTCTCTCACTTCGACATCGCCAGCACGCAGTCAGTACATAAGCTTCGAGTGGTTGTTATGTTTAGTTCGAAGTCAAGGAACAAACAAGCCTTAACCCCAAACCCTAAAACCGAACCCCCCCCCCCCCCCCCCACCCCCCCCCCCCCCCCCCTCCCCCCCCCCCCCCCCCCCCCCCACCCCCCCCCCCCCCCCCCCCCCCCCCCCCCCCCCCCCCCCCCGCCAAACTCCGAGAGCTATCTTCCGACGGTTCGCATAGTTGCTTCCGCGACGCTCCATGTAGCCGTGTTTTGAATGTTCGGGCTATACCTGTATACTGTCCAAGTGATAGTACATATTCATTCGATCTGCGAGGCCCTACGCATGGGTCTGCGTGCACAGCGTCGATGATTTTGGACCACTGATGCAAACAAAAGGTTGAAACATCTGCAACACTATGCAACAAACATACAAGTACCTGCTGACTTCCCATCAGCGCTTAAAATGCACGACTCGCATGCCTTCTTGTATTCTTCAAAGATGTCTCGGACAGCCATTGGCTCGTTGCTCAGTGTTAAGCACACCTATATTCTGTTCACATTGAAGTGAACTGAAAGTTGCCAGGACATGCCAGGACACTGTACGTAACGTATGACACACCACGCGATGGCCGGCAGCCTTCGGGCGATGGGCTAGAGGAGGCGTGTCCTGATCAGCCGGAGAACAAAAATGACAAAAGCTCCGCTGAAATACTCTTTGATGCCACTTCTTTGGGGGCTAGTCAGAGTATATATAGTTAATCTATAGTATATGTCTCAGTCCTCTTTTGTCGTGGCGCATTTGTGAACTGCCGACCTCAAGTCTGCTGAGGGTGTGGCGGTCCACGTCAGCCTCTCGTCCCGTAAGCTGCATCCAAGCCCAGCTCTGCTGCCGCCTCGCGCTATCAGGCGGATTTTCTTTTTTATTCTAGGTGCGGCTTGGCTTGGCTCCACCTGGCACGCTTGAGGATGTGTTTTGCGTAGGTGCGGCTCGTTTTTGGTTAGGTGTGGCTGTCTTAGCTAGGCAAGGGCTAAGGCTGGGGCTGGGGCTGGTTCTAGGGCTTTGGCATTGGCTTGGGTGTGGTTGAGGGTTTTTTTGCTTGGGCTTCTCTCTCTTTTTTCTTGGCCGTGAAGCACGTTTGCACCAGATGTGGGGGAGGGCGCAGCCCCTGTTTGCAAACACAATGCTCGCATGATGGGTTTGGAAGGGCTTCGTATGGCATTGAAGCAGGCTTGCATGGCTTTTCAAAAGTGGGGGCTTGGGGGGGGGGGGGGGGGGGGGGGGGGGGGTCGCAGGCCCCTTGCCTTGGATCCCCCCCCCCCACCCCCCCAATAATTTGAGCAAAAAAAGAAACGGAGCCAAGCCAAGCCCAGCCAAGCCGCACCAAGGGAACAAAAACGGGACTCATGCGCTAGCAGCCAGTCTCCAAACGACTGACATCGACTCATTGAACATTTCAACATCACATGGAAGGACTCAAATCAAAAACCATCGAAGACCAACAGCGCGCTGCAACAAAGTGCACGTCGAGGCACGCTGCATCAGCGCGTGGTACAATGATGTACAATGGCAACAAGCACGGTGCCGCGTTCCCGGGGCCTCCTGGTGTTTGCTACGACTGCTGCCAAAGCATATGCCTCAGGGCGCAAGGGACCTCCTGCAATGTGAAGTGACTTGCGGTACAGTAGGAATTGGTAGGATAATTTCAAGTGGCTGTCGACTAGCTGAACATGAGTCTGCGGCGAGCTCTGTCAGGCGTTCAGCCGTGGGTCTCCTGCGCTCCCTCCTTGCCACACTTGCGCGCTGGAGATCAAGAGGCTTTCCCACAGGGGCCAGTGAGCCCAGCGAGCCGCGTGGGCCCTGCGCAGCAAGAGGTCGGCTCGGGCGAGGCTCCCGTGATCGGTGTGGGCTGCGGCTGCCCATGCCCTCAAAATCAGGCACGAACTCGGCCATCGGAACACGCCTTGAATCGCATATCGCTGCACTTTCAACATTCTGCGATAAACGATCACTCTTCTTTGGTCTGCAAGTTCGCTTGAGCTTCTCTAGCAAAAGGTCTGAGATTGTCTGAGGCTCCCGCTCCGGATGCTCCGGAGAGCGTGAGGCCGTGTGTTCTTGCCCGACTCGCAGCACACTTTGACTTCGGTTCCCACTTCTGCCACTTCTCCCACGGTCGCTGCTTCGGCGGCGAGCTGGAGAGAAGCCGGGCTCGAGATTCTCGCGTGGCGACCGCTCCTCCCTGCGCCTTGGGCTTGGCAGGCCCCGCTCCTGAAAGGAGAGTGATCTTGAGATATCTATAGAGGTCCAAGCATCCTGCTGGGATATTTAGAGTCCCGAGAGTAGCGAGAGGCATATGTAAAGACGACGAAAGAGAGAAGGCAGCAAAAGTGCACACGCGATCTCGCCTTGCGCTGCAGCCATTCGGAGGCCATGGCCCGGCGAAGCTGTGCTGAGATCTGCCTCTCATGCAGAAAGATATTATACTGAAGACAAGCCGACACCATTCCAGCCAATTCCAATTGGAACTGAGTGCAGTCGTTCCAGCAGCAAGAAGAACTGTAACTGTATCTCTGTGAAAATGAGAAAAAAAGGCTGAGGTGCGAGCACCGGCTCCACCTTGGCAGTCACATGCATGCAGTCGCGGTAAGTCCACAGATCAGCAGCGAACTGAACAGCGCAGTGGAAGCTTGCATGAAGCTGGGCACATTGAGTGGGAACTCGTAGAGCGGTGCTCCTGCGCCGCGTTCCGACAAAAGCTTGAGCGAGCATTGAGCGAGTGCTGGGCTCATGGTTCCGGCTCGTGAGCGGGCCTGCATCTCTGCGGCGCCTGTTGCTTTCGAGGGGAATCGCAAGATAACGCGCAAAGCTGGGACAGAGATGAAAAGAGATCACAAGGCTTGAAAGGCCGTTTGCTTTTCCTCATGCATTTGTTCCAACGAGCAAAGAGGCAGTGGCATTCTATTCAGCACTTGGCCTGCCGTCGGGAGGTTCGCTATGATGTAACCGCTCCCTTGCCAAAAGCTCACTCGCTCAGAAAAAGCACTTGTTCGCTGTCTGCTGATGTCTGCTGCCTTAACTTTTGTGACAGCTCGTACTTGGATGGCTTCGGCCGGCAAAGACCAGCCTGGACGCGTCTGGACGTGCAAGATGCCTCAACAAGCTTCGAGCGTAAGTGAGAGTGCCTCCAAGAAATGTTCGAAGTCACTGACCTGGGCGATTGTCAGGTTGCATCACGCACCACGCTGCATTCGAGCTGCCCATGCCGCATGTGAATTGTGCACCAAGTCAGCCCTGGACCAGACGCAACCTGACAAAACCACAGATAACGACGCAGCACTTGGGCCCATGCACGTGACATGTGTGAAGACGTAGTGCCCTGTCTCAGGCCTCTGATCTTCAGAGAGCTCCGGCCAGGCCACTAGGGGTGTTGGCTCCCAGGACATGCCTCGGAACTTGCACAAATCCGCAAAAAAATGCACCGCCAGCGCAATTCACCTGCAGCTCCAGTACGGCCCATGCCACCATGTGCCTCTGATTCCCCGGACCTTCGGCTCTTACTCAATGCCATGTGACGATTGATATGTGTTGAAATGTGTGTGCCGCTCGCAAGCTCCGGGCTGCATCAAGTTCTCCTTGAGCCAAGTCAAGATCTGCGAGGGCAGCTCCTGAAGCGGTGGCAGACGTGACATTGTGAATATGCTCCTGTGCAAGTGCTGGTGCCACATCACCTGCCAGCTTGTGGAACTCAAAGTGCTCTGCTGGCTGCAGTCCGCAACCTCACCAAAGCTGTCCTAAAGATGGTCCAACAGCTAGCACACGCCTGTGCAATCTTGCCTCCAAGGACTCCTCGGAATCGGAAGACGCTAAGGACCTTCTAGCCAGCAGGGGGTGAGCCGGACTCGGAGATTGAAAATGAACATGCCGAGCAAAAAAATCGCGAAAGCCAGGATTGCCCCGGCGACTGCCCGAAGAGTGCTTTGAATGCTTACAGTACCCACATGACTCTCACATGATGCTGAAACAAGATGTCCTGTCCCAGGTTACCTCCAGGTGCGCTACTTTGACAGCCCCCAGGTCCCAAACCTACAATCAGTTGCATCAGAAGCAGGTCCTGCAAAGTTTGCACTCCACCATGATCCACCATGTGAGCAGCCGCAAAAAATCTTATGTAAATGCTAATTAAAAAATCATGGGGTATCGCTTTTGGGGGGGGCCCTATCGCTTTATGGGACTTTAACTCAATGCTGCTACGAAAACCTATCGCTTTACTGCATATGAGACCCGAAACCTGCAACCCTACCGTGAAAACTCTTGAATTCCTAAACCCGTTCCTTTCTTCAGGACCTATAAACAAATCCATATCCTAAACCTCGAACCCTCAACCTGGGCCAGGGCCTTTGCCCAGCTCTTCGGGTGGCCAAATGGGTATCGTAGGGTTATCGCTTTGAGTATCGCTCTGGAATAACACCCAGCCCCGCATTGTTGCAGAACGACTTCTAGGTTCAAGATTCAGGGTATCGCTTTTGGGGGGGGCCTATCGCTTTCCGAGGTTTCAGGCATGACATAAGGTTTTTATCTCCGCCACAAGAAACCTCCTGCAACGTAATAAAAGCGGTCGCTCATGTAGATCCCAGCGAAGCTTCGCCAGGATTCTTTGTCATGGAAGCCATGCCAACACATACTCGGTCAGTAGATGGTCACCAGGATTTATTAGAATTCGAGGACCTGGGTTGGCCAGACAGGATGCCAGACGTACTAGGCTGCCAGGACATCCAGTGAGGACTTCCAGGAAGCGGGACTAATAGGTACCTGCACAACGAACTGTTTTCTGCCGCTTGCCCTGCTTGCCCCACTTGCTCTGGTCCCTTAGCGGAAAACGACATGGTCCAACTTGCGCTAAACGATTTCTGCCGCTTGCCCCGCTTGCCTCTTGTTTAGTGGTGCGGCCCTGGCCCCTAGCCACAAGTCTGCCTCAAGGACAGCCCGCTTTGAGGCAGACTTGTGGGTAGGGTCAGAGCCTGCCCCCCCTTGCCGTTAAAAAGCCATAGCAGCGATTGGGAGTTGGAAGTCGGTTGGACGGGGGTAGGGGTGGGAAGGGGGGGTGACCGACTTGCCGCACTTGCCCCATGTTGCCCTGGCTCCACACCGGGCGTGAGGTAAATCGTTGAAGGCATGAGAGGCAAACGGGGCAAGCGGGACGGAGGGGGCCAGTGAGGCAAGCCTGCAAGTGAGGCCCTGCGAGTGAGGCAATCCATTCATTAACTTTTCCGGGACACTAGTTGGGCAGGTGGCGCAACATCAATTTGCTCTTCTGGAAAAGCAAGTGGGGTGAGGCAACATCAGTTAGTGGTCGCCGTGGTGCCCATGGTGCCCCCACGCGAAAACATCTCACATTGCGCGTGCCGTCGTTCTACATCTGCTGACGTCCCCTGCCGTCGCAGACCACGTCGTCTTCTCACTTCGGTGGGATGTGCTCGATGTCGGTGAAGGCATGCCGGAGGTGGGGCTAAATCCCCAGAAAGACCGTCGAAGAAAGGAGAAACGCCCGCCATGTTTAGTACTGTTTAGTATGATTTTTACTGATTATTGCTAAACGAGAGACCCATATGACCCATGAACACAGAATAAGTGGGCTTATGGTAACTCCGAGATCCCAGCCCCAGCTCCGCCAGATCCGCAGTGATTGCCGTGTGTCCACCTCTGGATGGCAGGATCTTACAAGAGATCCGGGCCCACAGGAAAGCAAACACATGCAAAGACTGCAAAGACTGCAAAGATCCACAGCTCAACGCAAACCATCTTGAGTCACTTGAACTCGATGTGTGCGCCTACTGGGTTGGCGTCCTGCCAAACTTCATCTCAGCTTCTTTTTCTGTCGAGCCCACTCTCCGACTCCCACCACGTACTGCACCCTCTCAAACACACTCCTCAGGGGCTTTGTTCAGAAAGCGCATCGAAGCCCGGATTCGACGGCGTCGCCTTCTTTTGGCTAGAACTCTTGATTCTCTTGATATGCGGAGATGACTTGTGAGATCCCGTGACTGCCGGGATGCCTCCGCTGCTTTTTCGATGGGACCCGCTGCTGCAGGCTGCTGGGCACCTCTATGGCTCTCTAGTCATGGCTCGAAAAAGTTATGGCAAAAGATATTCTAAAACGCATCTCAACCTCATTCAAGATGCACACAGATGCACAAGCGTTCCACAAGTGACAGGCCGATAGGCCACGGCCTTCATGAAGACGGACATGGAGCGAGGCCTGGCAGACAAGCGGAGGAAGGAGGAGGTCGGGCGCGCTGGTCCTGCGCCTTCCCACATCTCCGGAGGCCACGCCCGTCTCGTGCACGCCGGCCACGTTGGCCGTGCCGTTGGCCGTGCCCACCACGCCAGACTGCTGCGCCACAGTTGACTCCAACGGCTGCGTCACGCCTTGTGCCTCGGCCTGGCACGGCACAGCTCTGACAGCACGGCACACCATGATGCGTTCAATGCATTCCAGGCAAATCATCAATCGACCTCGGAGGCTGGGGCTGTGGAAGAGCTCTGCTGTTGTGAGGACTGCGAGCTCTGAGAGAAGCGGCGGATGCGTTCATGCACCAGATCCTCACATGCTGCTCACTTGACAGGAGTGGGGGTGATAGCAGACTGAAAGCGAGCCCCGCACCATCGTTTCTTTGAAGCCCTCCATTTCTTGTGCCTGTCTTTGGAAATTTCAAGGTCTAAATCTCTGAAGGTCGCTTGCTTGGCCTGCAGTGCGCGCGCGTCCTCTGCTTGCAGAGCTTCAGACCTGATGGTTGACCAAAAAATGGCAGCTTTGTTGCGCTCAATCTCAGAGATCGGTTATGTAGGCCACCGAGTCTTCAAGAACCACACCCTGGTGACCCTGGTGGCTGGAAGATGGTGCCCAATGTGCCCAAAGTTGCCTCTGGCTGCTGGATCTCCTCGGAGCACGAAATGGTTCTTTTTGTTGACATTTCTGGACATTGGACATCTGGACATGGGGCTCTCTCGGTCCTGGGTTTGGGTGCCAGCCTCCATTCCCAGATTCAAGGTCTGTGTGGCCTCTTCGTGCCTTTCATTCTCGTCTTTCTTCTCCGTCTGGCTGGCAACGTTCACCTTCGGGCTTACCTGACATCAGCACCCATTCATTGCCATTAAATACAGTTTGGAGGCTACCGGCCGGCCGGGTGGCTCGATTAGCACTCCTCCACCCCCTCCATCACTGCCCAGCACTGGCTTTGGGATTCTTCAGCTCGATGACGCGTCATACGCGTGTAGAAGTGCGGAAAGCTGCCAATGCTGTGAATGACGCACCTCTCCGTTCTTCAGCCGTGCCGAAGATGAAGGAGACACATCGACTGGCTCGGCTGCCGCAGCCTCCACAAGTCCGTGCGAGATCTTTGCGGAGGACAGCGGCTGCTATGAAAAGATGCTCTGATAAGGTGAAGTTATATGGCTGCATGTGGCGAGCGTGAGGCCTCCTGCCGACACGCCGACTGACAGGGTAAATGACCCAGAATGACTCTTGATCGTGCAGCGGGGTCGCCTGCCTGCTTTGCAGAGTGAGGGACCCGCTCCTGTCAGGACCAGCCATGCAGCTCATGCCTCGAAACTCCGCCCCCTCTCTGAAAGAGTCATCCACTGACAGACCTGAGCAGCCAGGCTGTCAACCTCATGTTCCTGTGCACGCACTGGAGGGAACCATCATAAGATGCCATATTGCTCTCATGCTGCAGCCATTAACGACAACGACTTCGCACCTCTGACGCTTGCCGCTGTGCTGTTGATGTCGAGTCCTGAGCAAAATGCACAGTAATGCAGACTGGTCACTGGTCTACGGATCAATTGGACCTTGCTTGCTGCCTCGCGCGCCGAAGATGACCCTGAGCCATCGGGTCTCCGTGCTGCCAAGGCCTGTGCAGGTGGCCACAAGGCCACGCAAGGTGTTTTGTGGTGAAGTAGAAAACTATCGCGCGGCAGGGTCCATAGCCTCGCTAGCCTGCTCTGTCGAGTGAAGGACCCTCCCCTGGCAGGACTTTCCATGCAGCACACGCCTCGAAACTCTGCACCTTCAAACGCCCTCTGTGCAAGAGCCATTTACTGACACACCTCGGCAGCCAGGCCGTTAACCTCACGTTCCTGTGCCCGCACTGGAGGGAATGATCATTGGCTGCCATATTGCTCTCATACTGCGGCTATCAACGACAAACGTCTTCGCACCTCTGACACTTGCCGCTGTGCTGTTGGCGCCGTGCCCTGAGAAAGGTACACGGGTCCGTTGCCCACACATGAGCCAGTTGGCATGTGGCGCCTCTTCCCCCAGTGCTTGGACCTTGTTTGCTGCCGCGCCCCTGGAAGATGACCCTGACCCGTCGGGTCTCTCTGCTGCCAAAGCCTGTGCAAGTGACCACAAAGTCACTCAAGATTTCTTTCCCGGAGAGCCAAAATGACAGTAGCAACTCTACAAAAACCAGCGCTTTCAGGAAAGTGGCAAAAAACTTGCAACTGAACCTTCAAAACTGCACATGCTTTTGGACGGCGTAGGTTCGGGTTTACTTGGTACTGCTATATGCTTTGGCTATAAGCAGCCACCCGAACCAACGATGACAAGTTTGGGATAGGGCCTTGTGGGGTTTGGGGCTGCAGCTATCGCAAAGACCAGTCACTGCATAGCATGCGCATGGGTGTTTAAATTCATGATCGACAGCTGAAACCAGAAGCTTTAAGTGCCAGACACTAAAGTCATACCGTGCTATTGTTTGCATCAGTTGGGATCGTCCATGTGAAGCAAACCACAACGTTTTGGGATTGAGGTTTTCAAACAAGGGCTTTCGGCTACAGATGACTCAGATGATCATTGAACAAAAACTCGGCGGAGATCAGAGGCCGTATGGCTATAGGCATAGGCTGATGTAACTTCGGCGTGGCAAGTGCACTAAAGGCTTCTAGCTCCAAACCTCCGAACCTCGGCCGCAGGCTTGACAATGCAGGATGCGGAAGGCAAAACTTCCTAAATCCTGAAGCCCTTGCACGAGTGTACGTCCCAGGTGCAAACTTAATCGATGCTTAGAATTTTGTTGCTTTGCGCGCATTTAGCACGGTCTTAGCTGATTTTGCAAAAGAAAACGTTGCGTAAAAACGCGTAAAGTTGGCGTAACATCACGTAAAGTGGCGGAAAAAAGCGTAGGATGTGCACATTGAGAATGCATCGATGTTGGAAGCCGTCTTTGGTGCTGCCTCAGTGCAGTGCAGCAACCTTTTGGCTGCACAGCCGTCTTCAAAGTACATCTGCGAAATCTCTGCACCAACTCATCTGGCGAAGAGCGGCATGATGCCTTTCTGTGCGGTTATGCTATGTTATGCTGTAACAGATTGTGAGCTATGTTGACATTCTGATGGAAATATGCGGATTGTGACCCGTTCTTGTCAAGCACACAGGCATTTTTCCACACATTCTAGGTCGAGCGCGCCATACACTTCACACGCAGCTGCAATAGCGTCATGCACTTTGCTGAAGCTCATTCGCTGACGTGGTCTATGAAAAGCATGAGACTCTTGAATTCATGGCCACGTAATCAAACACTGCCATCTCCCAGCAGACTTGTCATGCAAAAGAATGCCCCGACGTGTGGTCAATGGGTGCAAACGTAACAAAAAACCAGCGTATTTCAACGTTGAGTTGACTTGAAGGCAACAATACAATGCAGCCTCCCACCTCCATCTTTTCATTTACCCCTTGTTGTGGGATTCGAAAATCACGGTCGAGAAAAACGGTCAACAAATGTCAACAAGCTCGGTTCCCAAAAACAAAAACACAACCGACCCATAAACCCTGCAAATTCAGCAGTTGCATTTTGTTTTGGCAACTTGGTTTTCCAGGTTTTGTGCTGAAGTAAAAGAGGACGCGCTATGGTGCTGAACAGATTTTGCAATGTTCTGAGCTTCTGGCTGCATGTTGCGACTGCGAGGCCTCCGGCAAACGTGCAGGGTAAATGGCCCAAAGTGATGCTTGATCGCGCGGCAGGGTCAATAGCCTCGCTGCCCTGCTCTGTAGCTGTCGAGTGAGAGGCCCTCCCCTGCAAGGATTTTCCATGCAGCACACGCCTCGAAACTCTGCACCTTCAAACGCCCTCTGTGCAAGAGCCATTTACTGACACACCTCGGCAGCCAGGCCGTTACCCTCACGTTCCTGTGCCCGCACTGGAGGGAACGATCAGTGGCAGCCATATTGCTCTCATACTCCGGCTATCAACGACAAACGACTTGGCACCTCTGACACTTGCCGCAGTGCTGTTGGCGCCGTGCCCTGAGAAAGGTGCACGGGTCCGCTGCCCACACATGAACCAGCTGGCATGTGGCGCCTCTTCCCCCAGTGCTTGGACCTTGTTTGCTGCCGCGCCCCCGGAAGATGGCCCTGACCCATCGGGTCTCTCTGCTGCCAAAGCCTGTGCAAGTGGCCACAAAGTCACTCAAGATTTCTGTGCTGAAGTACAAGAGGATGCTGAACAGGTTTTGAAATGTTCTGAGCTTCCGGCTGCATGTTGCGAGCGTGAGGCCTCCTGCCAACATGTCGGCTGGCAAGGTAAACGACACAGAATAGCGCGTGATCGCGCGGCAGGGTCACTAGCCTCGCTAGCCTGCTCTCCAACTCTCGAGTGAGGGACCTTCTCCTGCCAGGACTTGCAATGCAGCACCCGCCTAAAAACACCTTTAAACGCAATTGTTACCCGCGTCATCCAGAAAACGTGCCTCGGCAGCCAGGCCGTCAACCTCACGTTCCTGTGCCCGCACTGGATAAACTGGTCACTGGTCCGATGATCAGCCAACCGCTGTGGCTCCTCTTCCCCCGGTGCTTGGACCTTGCTCGCTGCCGCGCCCGCGGAAGATGACCCTGACCCATCGGGTCTCTCTGATGCCAAAGCCTGTGCAAGCGGCCACCAAACCACGCAAGATTTCTTTGTGCTGACTGAAGTAAAAGAGGACGCGCTATGGTGCTGAACAGATTTTGCAATGTTCTGAGCATCCGGCTGCATGTTGCGACTGCGAGGCCTCCGGCAAACGTGCAGGGTAAATGGCCCAAAGTGACGCTTGATCGCGCGGCAGGGTCAGTAGCCTCGCTGCCCTGCTCTGTAGCTGTCGAGTGAGAGGCCCTCCCCTGCAAGGATTTTCCATGCAGCACACGCCTCGAAACTCTGCACCTTCAAACGCCCTCTGTGCAAGAGCCATTTACTGACACACCTCGGCAGCCAGGCCGTTACCCTCACGTTCCTGTGCCCGCACTGGAGGGAACGATCAGTGGCAGCCATATTGCTCTCATACTCCGGCTATCAACGACAAACGACTTGGCACCTCTGACACTTGCCGCAGTGCTGTTGGCGCCGTGCCCTGAGAAAGGTGCACGGGTCCGCTGCCCACACATGAACCAGCTGGCATGTGGCGCCTCTTCCCCCAGTGCTTGGACCTTGTTTGCTGCCGCGCCCCCGGAAGATGGCCCTGACCCATCGGGTCTCTCTGCTGCCAAAGCCTGTGCAAGTGGCCACAAAGTCACTCAAGATTTCTGTGCTGAAGTACAAGAGGATGCTGAACAGGTTTTGAAATGTTCTGAGCTTCCGGCTGCATGTTGCGAGCGTGAGGCCTCCTGCCAACATGTCGGCTGGCAAGGTAAACGACCCAGAATAGCGCGTGATCGCGCGGCAGGGTCACTAGCCTCGCTAGCCTGCTCTCCAACTCTCGAGTGAGGGACCTTCTCCTGCCAGGACTTGCAATGCAGCACACGCCTACTCCGCACCTTCATGTGCCCTCTGCCAAACAAAAGTGGCACTGGCGCGTCAGATAATTTTGCGATATTTTGCGGTGCTCGCTTGAGCGAATCAAGGCTTCAGCGGTGCAGGACTGGCATGCGTGGACAGGTTACGAGATGCACTTTCACACCCACCTAGCTGTAACAGGCCTCTCTCTAACTTTGATTTTCTGGCAATGGTCTTGGTTCGTGCCGACCTTCATCCAGTGGCAAATGCCAGGGCTGCTGGCGTCGGGCGTGGAGGAGCGAAAAATAGGTCTGGACTGGTTTTGGTTTTTGAAAAATCTGTGGGGGGGAGTCTTGTATGGTCTTGTTGCCAGAAGTCTGTTCAAGTGGCAGTGCAGACCTCCGTGACACAGCCCGCAGACTAAAGACCTTGTAGGAGGCTTGGGAGATTCCCATTCGTACATGCCACTGCGAGGGTATCGACTAATGGTGACTGATGGAACTAGGAGTGCCATTTCTTCTGGGGGGGGGGGGGGGTTCGATGGTTTAAGGCTAGGAGGGGGGGACTGTCACAGAGCATGTTCTCTCGGAAGGGCTTTCGGACAGTCACTTTTTAGCGCGAGCGTCTTTGCCGGCGTCTGGACCCTGACTGTACGTTTTATGCCCAAGTTGAGTTTGGGAAGTGACCCTAGGAATGTTGCACGCCCAACGTGGCTAGGCACAGCCCGCATGTGACCGCTTGTCCTCTCTTTCACCCGCCGTCGTGTTGTAGCAGCTTCTGGAACAGACACCACGTGGGCTGTGCCACCGCCCCTTCCCCGCCCGCTTGTCTATATCCCTCCTGAAATAAGCTGGAAAGGGCCAGGGGGGGGGGGGTTTGGGGGGACTGTATCGTTTTTTGTTTTTTATGGTCCACCCCAGGCGGGAAAGGGGAGGGGGACCCTCCGTTCATAATCCACCTCAACCACCCCCCCCCCCTTCACGCATCATGGCTCGCCACAAGAAGAAGCAGTCAATGAACACTGGGATTTTTCCAAGAATTTCCACGCCCTCGATGGCTTCGCTGAAGGTGCTATGAAGGCGGCAGGCACGTCGGAGATCAGGCCGATGGCCACGAGCATTGATGAAGTATGCTGGGACAGAGGAAGATGACGACGAGTCTGCAGGGCGACCCGATCAATGTAAAACGGGGAAGGTCGAAGACCAGAGAGAACAAAAGGACAGGACAAGAGGGACAAGATGGGACAAGCCAGGGGGCGATGAAGATAAGCCCAGCGCAAGAAAGGGGGCGGAGGAGGATCCATGGGTGGCCCAAAGTAAAGGGAAAGACCGCAGAGCAAAATACAGCGAAGGGAGCAGCAGAGCAAAATACAGCGAAGGGAGCTGCTGAAACGACAACCACCATCGCCACGGAGAAGCACCAGCAGAAGGATTTATGGGACACGAGGCATGGTAAAGACGTTCAACAAGGACCCGAGGGAGTTGAGCCCTTAGTAGCGGTTTTCAGTCAATTCATGGCGAGTGGAACGCCCGCCGAACATCTCTCGAGCTCACCGAAGGGCAGGTGGTGAATGTGGTGATGGCGGGGATGGATGACAGAAAACACATCAACCGATCAAGATGTGACTGCTGTCCAGCAAAGGCCGCCACGGCGATGCTGTCTGGCTCTCGGCAAACAAAGTGGCATTCGTGCATCAGAAAACTTGCGGTGCCCGCTTGGGCTGAATCAAGGTTCCAGATCGATTTGCGGCGCAGGGCAGGAACAAACACACTTTCACAAGTCTTTCACACCATCTCTGCAAGGGTCCACCGGCCTCGGCAGCCAAGCCGTCCACCTCACGTTCCTGTGCCCGTGCTGAAACGACAATGGGCTCCCATATTGTTTATGCATCATCGAATGGCGACTTCGCACCTCTGACACTTGCCGGTGTGCTGTTGGAGCCGTGCCCTGCAAAAGATGCACACTGATGCAAACTGGTCACTGGTCCGCTACGCATGGGCCAGCTGGCTTGCTGCGCCTCTTCCCCCAGTGCTTGGACGTTGCTCGCCGCCTCTCCCGCGGAAAATGACCCGGACCCATCGGGCTTTTCTGTTGCCAAAGCCTGTGCAAGTGGCCACAAGGCCACGCAAGATTCTTTTGTGTTGAAGTACAAGAGGACGCGCTATGGTGCTGAACAATTCTGAGATGTTCTGGGCTTCCGGCTGCGTGTTGGGACCTCGAGGCCGCCTGCCAACAACATTGCAGCAGAGAAAACGACCCATCATGACGAATCATGACTCTTGATCGTGCTTGCCTGCCCTGGCAGTGTCGAGTGAGGAACGCGCCCCTGCAAGGACTTGCAGTGCGCCCCTCCCCCTGCGAGCATCGTCACGGACACACCTCCACAGCCAAGCCGTCAACCTCACGTTCCTGTGCCCGTGCTGGAATGAGCACACCCATGCTACAGCCATCATCGAGTAGCGACATTGCACCTCTGACACTTGCCGCTCTGCTGTTGGAGCCGTACCCTGAGAAAGATGCACGGTGGACCAGATACATCAGCTGGCATGCGGCGCCTCTGCTCCTAGTGCTTGGACTTCCTCTTGTGTTCCTTCTGCAGCCCCCTGGCGCCACGCCACATGGTCATATTACACTTTGCTGCTTCTCTCACTTGACATCTGCTGTGGCCTGGTCATTGTAAGGATGTGCATGATCTTCCTCCCAGGTATGAGACACACTTTGTGCTACTGACGCAGAATTTGTTTCTCTTCTGTTCAATGTGTGAACTGCCTCACTGCCCAGGATGCCGTCTTCCTGGTGAACTTCTGCCACTGCTTGCGAAGGAACCTGCGCCGGCCGCATCTGCCCTCAGGATCGGGGGCGCTCTGCAAACGTGGCTGCCACACCTTCGCTTCGAGGTCATCTGCCACCTGCGCTTCCGCTTCCGTGTTTCTGCCTCCCTGTGGCGAGGAGAACAGCAACTACAGCAGTTCCAGCAGCATCGTCACGGGCTTCATGCGTAAGGCGTAAGGTCAAAAGCGGGTGGGTACACCTGGCCTGTCCATCCACTTGCGTACCATCTGAAGGTTCCTTGACTGCCGCAGCCCGAGCCGTATTCCCACTTGCTGTTGCGTCTTCTTGCACATGCCCTGCAGCATCTACAGCTTTACCTATTCCTGAATAGGCTGATCGGAAGTTATAAAGTTTCCCATGGATGGTGCCCTGCCTCCGCATCCATGTCTGCCGGCTGTTCCGCGATGTTCGCGTCTGCCTGCACGGCATTAATTATCACTAGCTAGGCCCTTGGTCGACGCCGACAAAGGCCATCCTAGGAGCAAGGCTCTCAGGCCGCTTGAGGCATGAAATTGTCAGAGAAGCAGAACAAGCATGCACAAACATGCACTCTACCTCCCGATGTGCGTCATCTGTCGGCGGCACTGAGTTCGCCCCTCTCTCCTGTCGAACATACGTGAGAGTGGGATGTTAGCCGAAACAAGACCACCTCAGCACACGCAGCGATCGCGAAGTGATTCGCTTCCGCATTGGTGCCGACCTGGAGGGCGTTGATTCTGTTGCACGCATCGTACATGTGCAACTGTTGCCATGCGAATCCTGCCTCCCCAGCCTGGGGCACCACATCCGTGCCACCCTGTAGCATCTACATGTGTGACATTGGAATGAAATTTCCGCACGCTGAGATTGCCAATGCTAGCCACAACGGCGCGACACTTCCCAAGCCGTTGAACACATATTCGACCAAAAGGAACGTTGGTCGAAGCGAATCTCGAAATTCTCGAATCTGCTTTCATGGCTTTAGGATGCTTCAGGATAGAAGGCGGGCCGAGGCAGGCCGAAGCGACGAGGAGCGACTAGCAAGCGATGAGCACGAGCGCTATACTAAAAGCATTGAGAAAGAGTATCGAAGGTGTGTCCAAACAGCACGCTCGCGCTTGCATGCCTGGTTCTCACATGTGCTCAACAGCAAAGCCAACTCGCATCGAAACCTCCAAAGCAAGGCCCTGCGATGTATCCATGTTCGCCGTGTTCGCCGTGTTCCCCTGCCAGGGCCACAAGCGGCACACAGCGGCACACAGCGACACGGAGATCTCTCAGGGCCAGAGCCTCTGCAGCCCCGAGCTGAAAGGTGACCCCACAGCTTGGGCAAATGGTGTCAACCTCTCATGTGCAGACTTGAGACACAAGGATACATGATGATAGCAGATGTCGCGCCTCACATCCTAAACCATCCTCACAAGAGCAAAAGCACTGCGACAACAGAGATTACTGTACCCCCGCCTGGCTACGTTCGGGTCGCGAATCCAGGCTCCTGCCGCGAGTCTGAATCCATTTAAATTCACATCATTTCGCAGTTTCGCGCATGTTTTCGCCTGTGTTGTCATGGCTTTGAGTGCAGATCTCTCGACACTCTTTCTCACCCGCGAAGTTTCCCGCAGATTTTTCTCGGTCCGTGTCAATTGAAACTGATGCCCTTGGCATCCGCACATCTCTCAAACTTCTCGAGGCAAAATCACATTCTTCTCGAGATCTCTCTGCCGAAACGAGCCATCTCTTGCTGGGCCAAATCCGGAGTGCGGCCTTAAGTTCGGGCACTCGAACTTCGCCTCTGGCTCAGTTGCATCTCGAACTGAACTAACTCGTGTTTTTTCCGTGCTTCAGCGGTGTTGTGTTGTTCTCAGACTAGGTTTTTTGGATGCCAGCTTTGGAAACATGCCGGAAACATATGCGGGAAACACATGCGCTCCTTGTGTGTGAACACCAAAGATTGACCCCCTTTTTGACTTGCCGGGGATCGGTGCTCCCCACACTCGCACTGTCCACGCCACCTGCTCTGAATCATGCCCCGATCAATTCTCCTATTGTCGCGGTTGCCAAAGAGTTTCGTTTCGTTTACCATTGAGGCTCTGCCTCCCTTGCTGTGCAAGAATGTGCAAGACACAACAATGTCTAAGCCTCGCTGCTGGACTAGAGGCTGCCCGTAGACCCGAGAGACTGCAAAGGTTTGCAAGTGCGGCACATGCGTTGCAAGGAGTTGACAAGAATTGAAGGAACTCAAAACAACTGAAGGGAAACGAGGGCCATTCGAAAACTGGACGCTCGGATTCGGGAGCGCATGGATTCGGAAACCAGGATTCGAAAACTACACCGAAGATGCATTCAAGAAACTGAAAAAACAACCTCTGGTTCGGAAAAGCGCCAGCACACACGATATCACGTTCCGGCATGGATGCTCGCTACAGCGGACGCAAGAAACCATGGACGTTACCACACTCGGTCATGGAGGCCTATCCAGCGTAGCAGTGGTAACATTCTTGAAAATCGGAATCATCAAAAAACAACAATTCCAAAATCGTTTCTGAAGTCGGCATGGCATGAACTAGTTTCCGAATAGTGCGGACGAAATGGTTTCTGAACTCGGCATAAACGACTGAATCCGTGCAAAGTATTTTCCGAATCCTGACCAAATAATTTCCGAATCGGGTGGTCAATTTTTGAATCGGCTTTGAATCGGCTTAAGACAGCTTCTGAATAACGCAGGATGTTTTCTGAATCCTCGCAAGTAGCTTCTGAACCGTATTCTCTGAATCGCGTCAAGTTTCTGATGCGTCCAAGCAGTTTCTAAATCTTGGTGCGGCAAGGGTTGCCCATTTTTCGTGTTTTGCCTCGATATTTGCCGCACTTTCTCGCGAAGCAAATTCGGACGACATTTTGATTTTTCTGGTTGTTGTTGCTTCCTCATTTCTCGACTCTATGTGTCCGTTTCCCTGGGCTTTTGCACATTTCTCAGCTTCATCTCGCTTTCGGACTGCATTTTGGCATCTAATGGTTTCTGTCCTTTCTCGCGCATTTGGCGTTTCGACTTTGCGACTTTGCGTTTTCAAGGCGTTGTTGTTGTGTTTCATGTCTGCTTTGATAGTTTTCCTAGAGATTTTGGATCCGTCCGGAGTCCAACTTGCCGAATAGTTTCTGATTGCATTTTCTAATCGCGGGTAGTTTTTGCCCGCCTGTTTGAATCTGTCCTAGACCCTAGACAGCCCGTAAGTTGCAGACGTACCCGAGCCTAGCTGTGCCCGCGCGAGAGAGTCCAACCGTATCCAACCATTCCGTGAGAGTCCAACCGTATCCAACCATTCCGTGAGGCTCCGTGAGGCTCTTGAATGGTTCTTGTGAGGCGTGTTTTTCGACTTCTCGATGTGGGCCCCTGGGCCCCTGAGAAAGGGAACTGACGGCTCGGTCGACACAAAGTTGCGAGAGGAAGTGGTTTGTTTGGGTTTCGCCTTTGTTCGGCGTGGTCCCACTTTAATTCCAGTTCTGCTGGAAGACTCACCGGCCCGGGCAGCGGGCATGGGGGCCCAATTAAGAATCAATGGGGTAGATGCATATTGAGGTATGTTGCGGTTGTCCCGTCCTTTGGCTTGATGCGATTTTCGGGTTTTCGGGCATCACCTCTGGCGGGCATCTAGAAAGACGAAGGAAGTGAAGCCTCGTTGCCTTGCATTCAAGATTTTTTTGGCACAGGCATGGTGTATGTGAAGTTTCTGGGATCTTCCCACCCTGCTGATATCTTGACGAAACATCTTCCCAAACAGACTTTGCATGGGCACCTGAAACTTGGAGAAAGGCCCGGGAGAAGAGAGAGGAGAGAGACAGAGAAAGAGTGGAGAGAAGCAGGTACTTTTGCGGACATGCCACTTGTGATTATGAAATCATGTCGCTGTTTGCTTTATTGTGCTTGCTTGTGCTTTGGTGTGCGGAGATGTGGCTTTTCTTGTCATGTGCATGTACTCGTGCAGTCATGCCCAGTCATGTCAACTTTCGGCGCACGGGGCAACTCTTTTCATTTCTTGGGTGCGAAAGTCGCCCACATACGCGAGCGCGCACGCACTTTCTCTGTCCGAAATTCAGTGTTGTGAAGGTGCTGTATTTGTCTTTGTAGACTTTAACAGATATACCCAAACAATTCGGCCCCAGTCAACTCGCCCTTTCAGAGTGTTCGGGGACTCTTTGGCCTGCGTGGTTTTCGACTCTCCCATTTGCCCCGCGCCGCTCGTTGACACCTTCTTTGGTCATGTCTTTACTTCTGTAGGCTTTCATGCAGTGGCCGACAAAATCCGCAGCGCGTTCGACATCGTTCGTGCGAACCCTTTTGAGGAGGGCGACTGGGCCACTTTTGGTGGGCTTGCTTCTTCGCTGCGTGAGGCACCTTTTGATGCACTGCTTCCTGATCGATGATGATCACGATCCGATATTCTTTACAGTTCTGCTTTCGCACGGCGCACTGTTGCTGATCTGTTCGCGACTTCGGTGTCGCCTGTGAGAACTTTACAAGGCCTAGGGCTGGATCTCGTGCGAGACACTCTTTACCCCAATACCCGACATGACCTCGACTTTGACGCTTTGGCAAGGTCAACAGAAGCAGATCTTCATCGCTTCGGTGGTGCAAGGAACACGATGTAGAATCTTCGCTGCGTGGGAACTTTTCCTGTGGGCAACCATGACAAAGGGTCTTCCGACAGTCTTCCTTTATCACAGCTGGAGGCTTGACCAACTCTACTATGCCCAGATGCAAAGGCCCAACGACACTTGGATGATTCTCGGCGCCCCCCCACTGCGCACTTTGAGGTGAGCGCTGGGACTTTTTTTTGGAAGGCGGGGGGAGGGAGGGGGGGGGGGGAGGGAGGGCACTTTATTATTCAAATCAAGCTTTGAAAGTGTCTGCCATGATGTCTGCCATGATGTCTGCCACTCTTCGAGCCGCTGCATTTCGCTGTATGCCGACAAAGCCTGAAGCGCAGTAAGGGAGTGCAGTCTTGCTGTATTCTTGGGAGGCGTGTCAACATCGATGCGGTCTGAGAGCAGGTGGAAGTTCGTCGGGCAATGCTAGCCCGCTAGCCTCTAGCCCATAGCCCAAACGACATGTGACCGCACGATGGTGATGTCCTTGGCGCGCCAGTGGAGTGCATCTTTTCCCCTTCCTGGCTGGCTTCGTCCAGCTCTGCGGGACCACCTTCCAGCGGCCCTTCCAGGCTTTCCGGGTCCTGAAGGCACATCAAGGCACCAAAGAAGCATCGGCTTTCCTGAGGCCAGTGCCAGGGCTGTCTCCAAAGGATCCGCGCAGTCCGGCCTGTTCACACATCTGTCCTGAGGTTGACACCCAGCGGAACACCCGGTTGCATAGCTGGCGGGCCTCACATCTCGTGACTCCGTGCCTGGCCAGGGAACAGCAGCCTGAACGTCTGCTGTGTGATATCTGTTTGAGAGTATATAGATACTATATAGGATGTCTACACATATAGGTCATCGCATCACTGCATTCCATATGAAGGCAGGGCTTTGCCAATTTGCCACTTTCGAATCTAGCTACTTGCCGCGAGCAGAAGCGATCAGTTGCGCAGCGGCCGCCAGTGCTTTCTCCACACGGGTGACTGTTCCAGCGGCCCAATGCGGCCTGGCATGGCGACTTCTGCGCTGAGGCTGAGGTCGGTCTGGACACCTGGCGAAGTGGGAAGGGGGGCGAGGGGCCAGCGGGGCTTTGCTGGGCAGCCTGTGGACTCGAACGTCTTCGGCTCTTTCGACTCCTGCAAAATAATTAGGCTGCAGAGACTGCGCAGGTTGATCAATGCAAGCTGGAGGCCTGGCTGTCCTCTTTGCTCGCGAAGTGTCGGCTGGCCACGTCGCTGGCCTCGCCGTCGGGGGCGTCGTGCGGGTGGGCGTCGCCGCCATCTTGGTGGGTGTCTTTCGCTCTGGCATGGTCGTGGCGGGCATCGTCCGGGCGGGCGTCGTCCTGGTCCGGGTGGGCGTCGTCCTGCTGGGCATCGTCCCGGCCGGCATCGTCTCGGCGGGCATCGTCCTGGTGAGCATCGTCCCGGCCGGCATCGTCCCGAACGGCATCGTCTCGGCGGGCATCGTCCTGGCGGGCATCGTTCTGGTGGGCCTGCTCCTGGCCCTGATGGGTGTCGTTCTGGTGGGCCTCACCCTGGCTCGCATCACCCTGGCTGCCCTGGCGGGTGTCCTGTCGAGCGTCACCCTGGCCGGCCTCACCCTCACGAGGCCCAGGGCCATCGAAGCCATCTTGACATGCTGAGCCTGGCTCCACGGCCTCGGCTTTGGGTGTCTGGCTTCGTTCTCCACCGTTTTGTGACACGTCGCTCGCGTTCGCCTGAACTTCGTCATTTTCGTCCATCACATCCTCTCCACGGCTTTCCTTGCCAGCGTCGCCTGCTGGGTCCTGGCGCTGCTGACTCTCCAAGTTATCCTCGTCGTGCTCCCCTTCTTCCTCACGTTTCCCGCTGCCATCGCTTGCAAGCACTCCGTCCTCCACGTCCTCTGCCTCTGCCCCATCCACCCCGTCATTCAGCCAGTCCTCCACATCATCTCCAACCCCATCCGCCCCATCCGCCCCATCCTCAAGAATATCTCCATCCTCAACTCCATCTATTCCATCTTCATCCGCTTCCTCACCATCCTCAACACCGCCCTTGGACTCTTTGCCTTCTTTGTCTTCTTTGCCTCTTGGGGATCCTGTTGGATCCGCCTGGCCCTTGCTTCCGCCTCCCTTGCCCAGGGCCTGAAAGAGACTCTGACTGTGAGTCTGAATCAGATTGTTTCAAAAGTCCAGATAATGAAAACCGGGAATATAATGGAGAGGTCAAAAGGAAGAATTGAAATACTCGAACTGCTCCGGCCTGCAGCATCTCAACCTTTTTGACCATTCTTCGAAGGGCCTGGCTCTTCTGCTGCAGGGATTCGCTTTGTTGCCTCTGGCACAGACACATGCGTGAGGAACGAGACATAATCGGAGAGAACATAAGGAAAGATTCGGAAAGATGGACATTCTTAAAGAACCTGAGGAGCTTCTTTGCTTGATCCAGCTCGCTCGAGAGCCTTAGTAGGCAAAACGTAACATCTGTGCCCACATACGCAAATTGACGCAAATGCACTCTCCCATCGTGGCCCTGTGTGGCCCAGGCTGACGATGAACTGTTGCATCCGTGCCATCATCCTTTGACCCCTTTGGCTCGGATTCTGCCCTCAGCGTCTGCAGCTCACTGCGCAGTTGCACCAGCTCCTGAGAAAACGAAGCTGGGATCACTGGAAAGCCGTTTTGCTCTGCACCTCTGTGAGCACGTGGTGCTCATTCTCTGCTTCTTGTCGCTGGGCCGCCTCCAGCCTGTTGAATCTCAAGGCTAGGGCTAGGGATAACGCGTTCTCTTGCTGGACCATAGCGCTTTGGACTGTCCGGGGCTGAATTGAGTGTTCTTCCGTTGTGCCACACCTTCTGGCGGCGAAAAGCACAAAGACCTAAATAGCCAAATGTTGGAAGGGGCAGTCCACGCATGTCCAAGGATAATGCCGATGCTTGAGCACGCACATACTCCGCACCTACTGATAACACGCCTGGCACACCTCAGAACCTAAGCCTTTAGCCTTTGGCCTTTGGCCTTTGGCCTTTGGCCTTTAGCCTTTAGCCTTTAGCCTTCTTCAGCGCCCCCTAGTCACCGCAACCCTGGTGAAGCTCCCCAGATTTTCGGAGGTTTTGAAGCATTTTGGGGCTTTTCAGAGTTTGGGTACACGGCTACACTGCCTGTCAGCCACGCTTCTCGCATCTTCTCGCCCTTCTTATTCATAGAATCCGTCATAATCCATCGGTCCAGCCTGGCCGAGTTCTCTGCGGCATCGGCACGCTGTCGCTCCAGGCTGGCTTCTTGGAGTTCCGTTGCCTCAGCAGATTATAGTCTCCGCAATTAGACATCCTCGAGTCAATGATGAAGTATTGTATAAGTATTGTTGTCATTCGCCGGCCCAATCGGGTGCGCGACAGCTTGACCCTGCAGGGAAGACTTGGCGGCACCAGCTTTCTCCAGGCACTGCCTGACGAGCGCCTGACAGAAATGCCGACGCGCCCGAAGCAGAAGGCAGAAGGCCACCGGAACAAGCAGATCAGACCACTCCGGATCCGACTCCGTTCGAGTCACTCAGAGTCTGGCTTGGAGCTGCTGCCTGGCCAGGTTGGGGTTGGAAGAGGCCGACAAAGCGACGAAGCGACAAAGCCGGGAGTGCAAGTCAGTGCGGCGCTCCAGCCACAGGACCTTCAACGAAACGTAGCGCAGCACAGCGCGGTGTGCGCTTCCTTGCCAAATACCTGCTTTTCCAAAGCATCTTCCAGTGCCGAGATCTTGATGAAGGCCATGTGGCTCCTGCGGTTGTTTTCGGGGCAATCTCTCAGGGCGCATGGCAAACATCGCAGAAAGGCTGCGCAAAATTCCGAAGATCCTGCCGTCGTCTGCTGCCTGCTAGATTCCCAGCCGTCAGAAATAAGTTTTTGTGTGCTTTGGGGAGCTGACCATTGCCGGCGTGTCCGTTGCTTCCTCCTGCAAAAGCGACAAGACAGTTCCAACGCCATCTCTTTCTCGAAGTAGTGCATTAATCATGAATTGGGCTCCCTTTGCGCACCCTCGCCCCCCCCCCCCCGCAAAAAAAAAACAAAACAAGTAACAGGAAGCTAGTTCTGGGGTTCCCGCCTGCCTCTTTTGTTTTACGGTATCCTATTGTTCCCCTCATTCGTTTTATGTTATTCTTTCATCATAACGGATTTTTACATATGTAGTTTTGAATGGTCCCTGATTCTTCTACACCTACTAGGTTGTCATTTATAATGTGTCTACGCCTATATGTTCGAGCGTTCACTACGATTTTGAAATCGTTCTGGTGTATAAATAGTTCAACGTGATACAGACTGTTTTTCATCAACTTAGAAAAGTCTTTATCAAAATCACTTGTTGCGTTCTTTCTCTTAGCAGTATTAAAACCTATCCACGGTTTTAGCCAGTCTTTTGTTTGAATATGATAGGTCTGCTTACTTTCTTTAAATTTCAAGCTCTTTTGTGAAACAATACTTTAACATCTTAATGTGTACCAGGTGTTTTCTCGTCTTTGGGTTCTTTGTTATGATTGAACTCTTTATGTTTTCTCAGCATACTTGCTTCAACATTGATAATTTCAGGTGCTAGTGGGGAATCATTGTGCTAGTCATGTAACTCTTTTGGATATTCTACAAGTATTACTGATGATTGATTGTATCGCCCCATGAGATAGTTGAAGGTTTTGATTTGCCTCAACACGTTAAATGGAGCATTGGCACATCCCACAACGCAAACCCTTCTCAACCATTTTACATAGATCTTCATCATATATTATCTCAAGCGTCACACCCTTTTTCAATACCGTAGCATCCCGAGAAAAATTAGGGAGCATGTAATACTGAGCAGGTTCCAAACATTTGGTTCTGAAGTTTTCAAAGGCATCTGTCAAGAATAGAAAGTCAGTTTTAAGATACAGGTAGTGATACTCACCGAGGTTCGTAATTTTGAAGTGTTGCCACATGTGTGTTGATTTTTTTATAACCATAATCATATGGGTAGCTACCCTTCTCTGAATAAATCTAAAGCATAATCGTCTTTAGCATATTCACGGTTTTTACTGTATACGAAATGGTTTGTCCAACCTTGCCGCTTCTCATTGTTATCATCTTTAGCTAACCATACAAGTCTAACGATGAAGACAAGAAACCAAAGCTATCTTTCGCTATCTTGTGCTATCACGCTCACATCGTCTTTTCCAGTATTCAGTTTGGCAAGGTTTGATACTGCAAGGTGCCAGTCATAATTTTTGAGATTATGAAAGAATATAGGTATCTTAACATATTCGAAACAATAATTTACATGACATTTACTATGAGCACAGCCACCATACAAACCTGTGGAATACCAATGGTCGCGTACCTTTTTTCTTATGTTTAGTGTTTATCAAATGGACCACCACATATAAAGACAGTTTTGGAATTCTTGTTCTTGTTCGTGTGTAATTGTCATTGCTCTAATTTTTTCATCTGTTCAAATATTTCTTCTCTTATTTCGTTCATTGTTTCACAAAATTCGTTCATAACATTTTCACCTCAAAAAACGCATGGTGCTACTTCATGTGCTATTGAATTAACAACGGTTAGCATAAAGACACTTGGTTTATGTTCTTGGTACGCCCCTTTTAGGGACATAGGCCTACTTTCGTGACCATATGTCCCGTTAAGTCCTTCATTTGATAAAACACCGTAAATAGCCTAAGGACATCTCATTCTTTTTTGAAAAACATGTTTCTTTTCCTTCTGCCGTCTCAATAGCCTGAGCTTCAGTAGCCATACACCCTTTAACAGAGTGAGCTGTCAACAACGGTTCATGGTTGAAGCCTTTCAGTTTCTGACAAAAACGATAATGAAACATTCTACTTGTGGTCTTGTCGTTGAGACACCATTAAACTGAAATAGTCTTCAATATAATGAACGACATGACTTCCACCATCATCATCATCATCATCTAAACGTAAAGGTCAATGTGACAAACTGGGTTAACGATTCTTGTTATTCCATCGGCTCTTGTTTTGTTGGCATCCTTGTCACCTGTATATAAACATTAACCGGAAAGGTGTTCTTGTTAATTTCCTCAAAGTGTTGAATGTGCTCGTTGAAACGGGAAATTAACACCGTCCCATGGTATTAAAAACTATGGTCACGCTTTTTTAACTCCCGGACATTTAAACAAGAACAATTACCGCGCACTATCTCCGAGGCAGTTGTCAAACTGCCGCCAAACTTAAAACGTCCGGAAAAACATTTGTGATTTGGTGCGGAGAATTGGACGGGTTGGCCTCCAGCCCTCCAGCCATGCAGCCTCCACTCCAGGGCTGGCTGTGAGCAGGCTGGAGGGTTGGAGGGTTGGAGGGCTGGAGGCTGGAGGTGGAGGGTCGGAGGACCCAACCCCCCAACTAAACATCCGTAGTCGTAGCCTAATCAGCCAGAATGAAACTGGTGCCTCATACTACCTCCGATTGGACGTGTGGTTGGCTGCCCCGCACATATTTTAAAGTTGTCACCGTACATATAACACAGTATGTTAAACATAGGTTCTGATCATTTTAATATTACTACATGCCATTTTCCTTGCTATCCATTCGGGTAGTTCTATAAACTTGCCTGCTCTTGTTGGGTCGTATTTGTCATAATGATTTGTCATAATGATTTGAATTTCGTCCACTTTCTCTGTCTTCAACCCTGATCTATTTAGATTCTTGATTCCAACCAAAGGTCCAGTATCACTTGCCATGCTATTTATTGCATTGTTGAAATCTTCCTCATTCAACTTTGCATAATATCTTAAGCCTGAATGTTGATTAGTCTTGACGAACCATAATCCTTTTAGAAGCGTTTGTCAAAACTTAAAAAAAACGTTTCTAATCAGCTGTTTTAGGCAATTTGCCACGTTTCTTTGATAAGAGCTCTGTGAATGGTTTTCACTGATAAAATGGATATCGATATTCTTTACCTTGAATAATTGCTTTGTCACCTCAACTTTGTGGAAACAGAATGCCCTAAATGTAAACAAGTAAGACCGTTGGATTGGTTTATAGAAGGTGGTCAACTATGTCAACAATCTTTAAACCATCAACACACATACGGCCCAACGACATATGGACCAAGTCAATGCATATAACTAACAATATTTTCAAGATCATAAAGAAGAATCTAAAGCAGAGAATCAAGATATGCATATTGATTGTTGCCACTGTGAATGCCCAGCTCATGAACATAAACTGAAACGACACATTGACTCAAACAAACATCAAAAACTAATGCTAGCCTTTCAAACAACACCATGATCACGTTACTGAAACTTTTTTGCATCCAGGTCTCTTGCAGTCAGCCGGGTAAGTGGGAAAGACTACTGAAACTTAAAACACAAAACCCCACGACAAGATTCTGATAAAACACTCCCCAGAATTTATTTAATAGCGGAACAGATGAAAACTCCACACAACCAACCCCGATATTTAGAATAACGTAGAAAAACAATACATGTAATAATTTTGAATTTAAAAACCTAAACAAGGAATGAGGTGTCCAATAACCCTAGAACTCAAACAACTTAGAAACTCCCCTAAAGTTTGAAAATAAACGAATAAAGTGATTTTATAACAATTTAAATGAATGAGGTAAAATGGCATGAAGAAAATGAACAAGATGAGAGATTGTAATAAAATACTACTAGGAATAAATGGCCGTAGAGATCTTTTAATGCAAATGAAATAGGTGAACAGATTGATTTAGAGGAAAACCTTAGAAAAATTAATATACAATGCGTGAGGTGAACAATAGGATAGGGCAAAACGAAAGAGGCGGGCGGGAACCCCAGAACCAGCCTTCTCCTGATTTCCCCCCCCCCCCTCGGCTCCCCGCAATGCTAGTTAAAAGCTTAAAGCATGTTAAAGCTGCACGGGGTCCTTTTAGTACTGGGGGCATTACGGGCAATTGATCTAGGAAAGGTCTACAACCCTTCCCCTAGCCAGAGATGCGAACTTGACGCCCCCTTATGACTCCGGAGGGCTTCTCCTAGGGGTCTGGGAGAATGGTCTTTGGGGCTGTTTGATGTCGTCTGATGTTGCTTGCACTATCATAAGGCGGGCTTTCATGAAACACGGGAAGAGATTCATGATGATTCTGGCTACAGGGCTGGGCCTCAGCAAAGTCTTCTTGCTGAGAGTCGGTCAGCCGGCCCCGCAACAAGCGCACCTGCCAAAGGCGCGAAGAGGCCGGCTGGCCCGGGCCACTCCCGACACACACACACACACACACACACACACACACACACACACACACACACACACACATACAATCAATTTCTCATGTCTTAGCACCTTGTTCTGCTCCTGCGCCAACCTCTGCCGAATGGCAGCTTCCTCACGGCTGAGTGCCGCCAGCCTTCCAGCAAATGTATCTACGAGAACCTATTCCTAAGTAATTAGATATGCCGAGCAACTGTTGGAGCAGACCGTCCTCGGTTCGTGGCAGATGGTGCCGGCTTGTGTTGATGCCATCCCATTGTGCTCTGACGGCGCCTTCTCCATGTTGAAGGTCTGCTGCATGCTTTCTGCCTCTTTCTATGTTGCTTTGCATGCTTCTTGCGCTGGACCTGTTCGAGCGAGCCTTGCGCTTCACTGCCTGCTCTGTGTCCTGGCATCGAGACTGGGCATGACGGCATGACCTGGGACATGCTGGTCGGCGGTGCGGCGGTGCCCTCCTCGTCCAGTGCGGAGTCTGGACTGAAGAAGCGCACCTGTCATTGTCAAAGATGTCTCAGGCTAGCCAAAAACTTCCGCATGTCAATTGAGCTCTTTATGGGGTGCTGACATTCAGCATATCCTGTGCCATCTGTAGGTCCTGGACGGGCAGACACGAATCCTGTTCCGCAGACGTCAGCTGTGTCGGGTCCTCCGGCGTGAAGTACTCCAAGTACCTGGACAGCAGCGACCTGCGTGGCACCGCATACAAAGCATTGCAACCTGGTAACCTGCAATCCGCCGAGGCCTCGGGCCGTAGCAGGTGCCCCACCTAATCCCCCCTCCCCATCACCCCCGCACAAGTTTGCACTCCTTTTCTTTGCCAGTATGGGCACCCCCCCTCATGGCGACAGGCGTCCCACAGCGGACGGCGCACCAGGACCACGGGCAGTTGGGCTTGAGCCTAGACCACCCCCGACCGCCTTTGCACCTACCAGCGTGCGCTCCAATGGACTTCCCATCCTCCTTCTCCTTATTTGGTTCCAACCGTGCAGAACAAGCACCTCTGCGTAGCCAGGCGGGTCGCGTAGCGTTAAAATTGCAATATACGGTTTTCGGCTTAAAGCAAACTTGAGGGGGGCACGAAAAAAATCTGCAGGCTAGGCTATCACGCATAACAACAGCAACCAAATCACATCCAACATCCAAAAGCAAAGGGGAGAACGGGATTCAGCTCTTTTGAGGCTCTGATGGCGTCCACCCCTCCATTGCTAGAACGCAGATAGAAGCGCCTAAAGCCTCGCGACGCGAGCTACGTGATTTGGTTGTTTGGTTGCAAGCTGCTGCGCGCGGTGCCCCAGTTCCAGCCTGAGGCGCGACCGTAAGGCCTCCAGGTCCTGGTAGTACCTCGTTTGCCAGATTGAAGAAGTAAAGGACATCAACATATCCCGACAAATGGGGCGCACATGGAGCGCAGCTGGTTCAGAAGCCGGGTTGTCTTTCGAATCTTCTGACCGTCTGAAGCCAGTTGCCTGAACTTCCAGAAGAACTCCAGCTTTCCACAACCGATGTCGACAAAACTTCGAGGGTCAGGCTCGTGGAGCTCTTGCTCCTAGCGGCAAGCAGAGACGTGGAAACATGATGTAACGGGGCATGGAAAGCCGCATCTTCGCCTGCACGATGACGGCGTCCAGCTGCTGCTGGAGAGCCTGAGCCTTGGTCACAGCCATCGCTAGTAAATTATATATATATATACATATATATATTCATGTATGTATTTATGTATATAACTACATTTACAGAGATATATAGGATATTATATAATGTAAGCTGCCGCGATCTACGATGTACTGTTTCGATCCGCTTCGCCTGGACAGGGCTCGATGCGGGTCCCGTCGTAGCCTGGGAGGCTGTGAAAACCTGAGGCAGAGTGCAGGCAGAGTGAGCCGGGAATCCAGTTCCCAATGTTGCCCATAGTTAAAGCCTCGTCCACGTAGGTGGAAAGGTGTTCGAGTACTTTCCTGAAGAGTTATAACCGACACCACAGGCATCCAGAAGCCAGAGAACTTGAGCAGGCCTGAGGCCCTTGGAAACCTGCTGCTGTGCCTTCGGGCTGTATGGGCTGCTACCCCTTTGGTACACGCTTGCGCGGCGTGCAAGCCTGCCTTTGCCTCCACGTCCGCCTTAGAGTGGCTTGAAGCCAGCTGCTTGCAGGAAACATCACAACAATTTCATGACGAGCGCGTGTGGCATCAGCTGCGGGCAGTCAGTGGCATTGCATAACCCAGCAAGGTGTAGCGAAGTAATCGTTGGACCTTCATCGGTGAGGATTATCTTGCATTGTGAGCCTGTCTGACCCTGAGTTTGCCGGTGATCACCAATCTGTGCCATCCGGATTTGTACACCTCGTAGCCCACACACTGCGCAAGCTCCGCGAAGAAGTCGGACCGCCCTTCCAGAAGTTGGGCAGAGCCTCACATCCAAGATGCTTCAGGCTGGTAAACGGGAGGCTTTTGCAGAATCACTGGCTTGCACGTTGCTTTGATACGCTAGCTTGGAACCTTCCAGGGCCTTGCTGAGGCGTAGGTGGCCTGGAAGAAATGAATTTGCAAAAAAACTTTGCAGACAACCTTCTAAAGACCGCAGGACGCCTCGGGATGCTGTCACTGTGGTTGTCATGTTGTACGCGGCAGGCGGCTACGTCACTAAGATCTGCACTTCCCTTCGGCTCACTCGGTAGCACGGCCGCCGCCTTCAAAAGAAGTTGCGTGTGACCGGTCACGTCGGCTCTCCCATCTTACGTTCTGCCTGCACCTCATTCTTCCGCGCATCCTCCAGGGATGCCTTCAGCTGCAAAGCCAAGCTCGATTTTGCAAGGCCTGAGCGAAATGTCGACTTTGACTTACCATCGCTTGCCCTTTCCCTGGTGGCACGAACCTACAGTTTAGCAATTGTAGGCTTCGTGCTCATGCTGCCGGAGGAAAAGATCACCGCAGCTCGTAGACAGACCGAACATGCGCAACACTGCGGGCTTTTGAAAAGTGTGGGTTTCATGCTTACTGGCTTATTCCCTTGCCTGGCTGCCTGGCGATTATGTGACCCATGTCAAAGCGTCTGTTGAGGTTCTGCAAAGGAATGACCACTAGCAGCTGACCTCCGTCGCGCCCTGAGGCAGAGAGAAAGTCTTTGTCATGCCCAATGGATTCATCACTCTTGCTACTTGACGTGAAGCCGGAATGTCGTCAAAATATGTCAAACTTGACCACCTTCACAAGTCTTTTATATACCTGAAAGGCACATTTTCGGGAGGTATAAGTGTCCGTTAAAAGCGCAAGAACTTTACAATTCCTCGCAGCCATTCGTCCTCGACGGCGCTTCACACCCCCTGCTATGACTTCACCCCCTGAATGAGTTTTTGACTCTGGTGGCCCAAGAAGATTCTATTCCAAAAACTGCATCCCCAAAACACAGGGGATTGCTGTTGATTTGAAGGCGCTGTTTAGTTGCTCTAAAACTCGAACGTGAAGCCGTCCACTAGTTGAGACAAGCCTTTTTCCCGCTTGCGAATTTGGAGGAATACGCCCCATTAGCAGTCAGACATGTCTGCGTTCTTTGCGCTGTCAGTATTGAAGTCCAATTTAAGTTCAGCTCTACAAATATGGAAGCCTTTGCTAAGACGGCAAGCTAAGCTGAAGGCCCAGTGGAGAAGTAGTAGTAGAGTGCTTCTTGTAACGACGGCACTCAGTCATGGCAGCCCTGCTGCCATAGTGCTCTGCGGCCCGATTTTTTGCTGAGCCTTCTTTGCTGTCCCTCCTGGTGCATTCTTGCCAAACTCTGCAGCCACAGTAGCCTTAGATGTCGCCGACTTGGCGCTTTTGAAGGCATGCTGAGCTTTCTTCGTATCTTCGCTCTCTTCGCCGCCTCCTTTCTGCGTGGCTCGGTCTTAGCGAGGGCCTCCTCGATCTTCGTAAGCCTGACAAGGTGAGGCCTCACCAAGTCTTAGCGAGGACTCCTGGCCAAACCATCAACGACTCGATTGGAAGAGTTTCACGAATAAGAGAGTCAACGAAAGTTTGAGACACACGAGTTCTAGGAGGCTGTCGTTGCTTTGAGTTTGGTTTGTGCCTATTCGGGAATGGTGTACGAAAGGCTTTACTCTCGCAGCATGTCAATGACAGCACCGCTGCCTCTGGCGGTTACGAAGTGCTGCCCAAGTTCAATATTCGGTCGTTTCAGCAAATCCTTCCACTGCAGCGGCCGACCTTTTTCAGCGCGCACCAGGAACCGCATGGCTGCAGGATCGCAGCATCAGCTTACCATGGATTTCGTGTTGTTTGAGGAGCCTGGGCCACATCCGTGGCTGAAGGAGTTTCAGATGAATGAAATGGACCATAACGAACAAATATGTACGTACGAGTACATAATATATGCATGTATATATATATATATGTGTGTGTGTGTGTAGAAAAATATACGCAGCTGTCCTTCTCGGATGGCCATGGGGGCTCCAGCTGACTCCAGCTGTCTGCAAAGCCACGAGTGAGTGACAGTGAGTGCAAGCCATTTTTTTCTGCCCGCTTGGAGCGACTCGAGGTGGCTTGGAGAACCGCAGGCCAAAGCACATTGTGGAAAACCATTTGACGCTGAGGCCTCCAATCCCCTCTTAAGCAATGCAAAGGCACTGCCGCGAACACTAACAGCTACGTAGCTTCTGCGCTCAGAAAACTTCCAGCCGGGCTGTCGGCTTCCCAGCCTGGAGACAAGGCGAGGGTTCAGAGGCGCACAGTTATTAGTAAGCAGAGACGCCAGAATTCAATGAGGGCAACGGCCAGGATAGGAATGAAGCTCCAGCCCCAGAAAAGATACCAAAACCTAGTTCATCAGTAGCCAAAAGGCCAAAAAGGCAAGCAAGTCACACACTCCCATTCATCTCACATATTGCATGTGCGTTTTTGTTCTCTCTTCTAGTTGGTCACTTGGCACAGCTCCTACATCCAATCGAACCTCAACTTACGGGAGAAAAAAAAGGCACATTCTACTAATTGTCCTGCTTACTAATTCCGGTGGCAGCCTTGGCCTCAAGGCTTAGACTCGAGTTTGGGCTTCCCGGTGGGCTGTTTATCTGTTGCAGGAACATGGCTATGGAAGCTATTTGCAGGTTTTCGGGATCTATTTGCCCCCGAAGTTGTTCCGAACCGTTCTGACCTTGCAACGCCTCAGCACACCAACTCCTCAACCCTTTCCGAAACCGTTCCGACTGGAAACCGTTCCGCACAAAATCACGGACCAAGGATGTTGAGACAGTTCCTGAACATGATGATCTGGTTTTTGAGACAAGTAAATGGTTCCTGAGACAGCGTGCCTCCGAAACACAAGCCCTACGATAAACAGCCCACCGGATTGTCGAAATTTGAGTCTCATAGCATTCACAGGATTCACCTCGCACTAGCATCAGCACTCTGACCCCGGGCGGGTCGAGGTTGCAGTCCGATGAGCACCATCCCAGACGGCTTTAGGGTTGCGTTTTTTTCAGCGGGGCCCACGGATGGATGCCGCGATGCTCAACGTCTTTGTCGCCGGGCTCCTTGACAGGGCTTGGTCCTGGCCGCGGGAGAAGTCACGGGGTCACCTTGCCTGTGACGAGGAGATGCAACAGCTGCGAGAAAAGTGGTGCCAGCGAGTCGGTGGTGATGACTGGAAGCATTGTCTTGAGGTTCCCAAAAGCCCTTTCTCTTGAAAGCGGTGGCCAATGGCCAGGACTGCAGAGGCGATGGGTGAGACTGGGCCTCGATTA